AAAAGAAAAACAAAAAGGCACAGAGCGAAAAGAGACATCATAACACCCACGAGTCTTGACGAGCGGAGAAAAGAAAGGAAAGAAAAGGTAGACGATATAAACGGCCGGTACGGGACCCTTCTGAGGGGAGAAGTGGCCGCATAATGGCTCATGAGAATGCAACGGAGAGGGGTGGGGAAGGAGGTGCCCAGCCCCACGTAAACAGAGTCATCGCGGGGGTGTAATGACCGAGGACCCCCCCAGAAACTCGTGGTCAGACTCTCCGCGCCCTTGATTTTACGCCTCATTTCGCAGCGTTTTCGAGGGGGAAATCATCCTTTGGGCTACTCGAGTACATGAGCAGCCTTGAGACTGGTCAGAGTCTCCAAGATATTGGACTTTCAGCCACGATTTCACAACACTTTGGGGGCAAAATCGGCTCTCTGGCGGCTATTCCTAGCCCTTCACCACATGCTAGGGGGTGGGTGGGGCGTGGAGAGAAGCACGCCCCCCCCCCCTGGTGGCGATGTGCGCCTGCTCCAGAGAGAGCGCGGTCTGCCTTTTGTTGAGAAGAAAAGTGCGGCGCAAGCACAGGGCACACGCCGCGCTCATTCGCGCCGGGTCTCCCCGTGTATTTTTTCTTGGTCACGGCGGACAGAGGCTGTAAGAACACGGCGCACACCCCCGCACGACTCCGCTCATTCGATCGGCTCAAACGCGTCCAGGGCGAACCCTCCGGTGTAGATGTCCTTGAAGCGGCCCGCGAACGGGTCCCAGCGGCGGACCATCGCCGGCTCGTGCTTGATGGCCATGTCCTCGTCGCGCTGGACAGCGTGCGGCAGCACGTGCGCACGCCAGGCGTCGACGAGGGCCGCCGCCTGCCGCATCCGCAGGGGTGGCGACCACGCGAGCAGGTAGCCGAGCCGCAGCAGCTCCACCGCGCGCGCCCGCGCATGCGGCGGGAAGAAGCGGTGCGTCACAATGGACCATGGCTCCACCGCCAGCCGCACCAGTGCGCTCGCCTCGCTTTCAACGCGACGCGCCCGCTCGAGTGGCGAGGGCAGCCCGGCGTGCACGCTCGCGCCCCCGCGTAGGAGCTCCGCCGTGCGCTGGGCGGAGAGCTCCTCCAGGTGGTGGAGCGGCGTCCAGTCACGCGAGGAGCGAAGCCAGGAGAGGGTCTCGGTGTGCCTGCAGGTACGGGTGGATGGGGTGGGGAGGCTCTGTGGCATTGGACGGGGACATATTCGAGGTTTGTGCTGAGGAGAAGCAGCGCGCCCTCGCTGCTCGGCGAGTCGCTCTGCACTCCATCGTTTGATCCATGACGGCCGCGCCACCTCCCTCTTGCCTCCGAGTGACGAGAGGAGTCGCACGCACGCGATATGCCCCTCAAGCGACGCAACGATCAGCGGCACGAAGCCGCGGGAGGCGCTGCTGGCGGGAGCCTGGATGGAAGGACTTGGCCTCGTTGCACCGCGCCGCGTTGATTCGCGACCACCGTCGGCCGCGGACGGCGTCGGCGTGGCGGCCGCGGGCGCTCGCGAGACGCGCCGCTCTGCGCTGGTTCGGTTCGTTCGACTCGTTGTGCCGCCGCACGCCCGGCGGCCGCGGGTCCCAGAAGTGGTTGCGCGGGCCTCTTCCTTTCGGCCGCGGGACGGCGTCGGGCACGTCGTTGGTCGCAAAAGGCCGAGGGGCGCAAATTGCTTCGTGGTGTACCTGTGTTAGTGCCAGTGCGCGCCAGTCCCGTGCCCAATAAATAAATAAATATAACGGACATGCCAAGCTAGGGCTGGGTCGAGGACAGACACGTCCCCACCTTTGCAGGATTTTGCAAAAGCGAGGGGGGAGGGCGCATCGCCGCGCGGAGAGGGCTGGGCACAGGGCACAGGGGATCTCTCTCGCATAGGATATGCACTCGGCGGCACGAGGGCAAGGCTGGGCGTCCTATGTTTGTGCTCCCCCCCGGACCCCTCGCTCTCGGGCACTAACCATCTGACCACTCATCGACGGGGCTTGGCGAGTCCCGTGCCCAGTGTTGTGCGAGGGAGTTGGAAGATCTTTTTCAGTCAGGACGTCAGCGCCAACAACTCTTGGTCTCGAATGGTGTCCGGCGCCCTCCCGCTGCTGCCCACCACCAAGGTTGGCGCGGGCGACAAGGAGCGCGCGTACGTCATCCGCCAGAACGTCGTGCTCAAGGCGCTGCTCATCGCGGCGTCGGTGCTTCTGGGCGTGAGCACGCTGCTCTGCTGTACCGTGTACGAGGTGCACGTGCAGCGGCGGGTGCGGGTGGACGACGCGCGCGAGCACCGCGAGGAGGAGCACACGTCGCACATGCGGGTCATGCGCCTCTCGATGATGCTGCAGCAGCGGCTCAAGGACGAGGTGCACGACATGAAGGTGCTCACAACGTACCGCGCGTGGCTGCTGCGCGCGGTGGGCGAGTACCAGCAGCGGGTGGAGGATCAGGTGGCCAACTGCTCCGACGCCAAGGGCGGCCTCGCCAAGCTCGGGGCCGACTTTGACAAGCAGATCGACGGGCTCATCCACCGGCTGTGGAGCGATGTCGTCTCGGAGGGGCGCGCGGCGCAGGGCCAGCTGCACAACATCTCGAGCGCAATCATGGGCGAGCTCAAGCAGGAGGCGAGCGAGAAGGCGCACTTCGACGAGCTGATGCGCGCCGAGGGCGAGGAGCCGCGCCCCATCCACCGCGCAGGCGAGGAGGACGCGCACTACGGGTACGGCGACCACGGCGACCACCACCACGTCGAGGACGAGGACTCGTCGCTGGGCGTGGCGCTGGAGGCGTTCCACACGCGACTGCTGTCCAACGCGTCGGCGCTGCCGCTCGAGGAGGCGACCCTGCGCCGGTGGGGCGACGCGTACGAGGAGGCGATGCGCGCGCTCGGCGACGAGGAGAAGGAGGCGGACATGGTGCGGATCAATGCGCGGCTCGAGGAGCTCATCGGCCAGGCGGGCGCGCCGCCGTACAAGGAGACGCAGATGGAGGCGGAGGGCGGCTCGGAGCTCGACTACTTCACCGAGCTGCTCTACCGCGCCCGGCTGGCGCCGCACCGCGACGAGCTGCTCCGCGTGCTCGGCGAGTGGCTGGACGGGCACGTGCCGCTCTCCAAGCCGCTTGAGCTGGTCGAGCGGCTCATCGACGAGAACGTGCTGCAGCCAGACGTGCTGCTCGTGGCGCCGGGCGACTACCACTACCACTACAACGATGACGAGTCGTACGGCGAGTGAAGCGGGTGAGGCGGCAGGAGGCGCGGCGGACCGCGGCGTCGCGCAGTGTCGGCCGGGAGCGGCAGCCTGGGCTGGGGGCGGGGCGCGCGGATCGGCGAACTGCAGAGCTAAACAAATACATAAAAACCGCGACCCTTGGGATGAACGGTGAAAAAAAGAACGAGTGTGGGCGGGGGGTCCCGACTCTTGCACTGTGCACAGCCTGAGAGTGCCTGACCCGAGTCGCGAGTGCGAAACCGAAAGTCATAAGTCTCCCGACCCGCCCCCGCGCCCCTCCACAGGCGGCACAGCTCGAGACCGCGTGCGAGAGAGACACGCCGTCTCGCAAAAACCAACGTGCGATAAACTCAAAAAGAAAAGAGTAACGTAAGTTTGTAGGGCATCGCGCGCCACTCGACCCCGAATCGGCCTTCGGCCATCGCGCATCAGGATCAGCCAAGAGAGCCATCAACTCTCACGGGGGCGTGGCCAGCTAAGAGCTTCTATCGTTGGGGCAGCCCCGTCCTGCGCGCCAGCGCCGGAGCACCCAGTGCCAGGACCAGTCACGCACAAACGTTCTACAAGTGAAAGCCATTGCTGGGCGAGCACTTAGAGCCCTACTCACTGCTCCTCAGAGCCGTCGCTCGTCGCTGCAGCTGTCAGAACCTCCTCTGTGCCTGTTGTGCCTGCCTTATCCTGCGATGTACACCAGCCTTGTGAGCGATGGGGCTGGGTATGTGGGGCGAACCAGAAGGTGTTGAAGCTATGTATTCGTTCCCTCATCTGCGCGGTGCCTGTGGCTTGCCCTTGGCCTTGAGCGGCTCGTCGTCCATGTCTTCAACGTCCGACTCATACCCCTCGGTCTCTGTGGTTGCAAAAACGCCCTCCACGGTGCCCTCGGAGCCGTCAGAAGTTGCGCCCGCCGTGATCCAACCACTACCTAGAAGCAGCAAAACATGGTGTGCAATCTGCGAAAGGAGTTTGATGGCGCAGATTGCACACCCGACACTCCGCTTGCTTGCTGCAAACTATCTTGAAGTCGGCGCGAGGCATCCAGGCCGAGCACTTCTGCTTGCGACGCGGCGAGCACCGCAGCCAGAAACGCCAGTGGCGAGGCCCGGGCCATGACCATACCGAGCGGGTCTTGCGCCGTTTCGGGCAATACTGCAAGAGTTTGCCGATGAATGGCGAGGCCCGAGCGCGCCGTTTCGGAAACACTGCAAGAGTTTGCCGATGCGATGAACGAATTGCCCCCCCCCCCCCCCCTCTCCTGTGTGAAATAACGCCGTAAAGCCATAGTTGCGAGCGTGTGTGTGTTGCATGCGTGTGTGTGCTGTGTGTGCAAAAAATGCACACATGCTGTGCATGCACATGTCGCTTGTCGGCAATGCAATGCACATGCGCTGCACGCTGCGCGACGACGAGATCGGTCGCCATCGCCGCGCGTGTCCCTCGTATAGGGGACGGCTCTCTATCGGTGCGGAAGTTCATGCCGGAAGCTGGAAGTTTAGAAGCAGCGCGACCGAGAAGCTGTAAGCTACCCGCCAGCCAGCCCACAACCTCACAGACGAGAGGCGCGCGGGGATAAATTTATGCGGGGCACCCCCTCGTGCACACGTACAGGCACACAACTCTCACGGCACAGCCACAGTGCTCCAACCTGCATGCCCTCATGCTTCGGTCGCCCGCTCCACCCATGCGCGGGCCATCGCCTTGACCTTCTCGACGAGCGCGGCGTCGCCTGCGTCGGAGGCGTACTGCAGGTACCGCTTGAAGAAGTACTTCGCCTTCTTGGAGGAGAGCTTGAGCGAGACGGCGCGCTCAAACAGCGAACGGATCGGGCCCGGCTCGCCGCGTCTCAGCTCCATGTCGAGGTAGACGGACCAGACGTCGATGCGCTTGGGGTAGGAGGAGAGCACGCCGTCAAAGACGGTGCGGCCCCGCTCCGCCGAGCCGTGCCGGAACTCGAGCTGCCCAAACTTGGAGATGACGTCGACGTGGTCCGATGTGCTCAGCGAGTCGACGGCGCGCTGCAGCAGCTCCTTGGCCGACGCGGGATCCTTTCGCTGCGCAAAGATCGCCTCGAGCCACGCGAGCCACACGCGCTTGTCGCGCCGGAAGCGCTTGAGCGCGCCGTTGTACGTCGCGTCTGCAAGCTCGGCGTCGCCGGCGCGCTCGTGCGTCGCCGCGACGTGCAGGTAGATGCGCATCGGGTCCGCCTGCGCGATGGCGCGCTTGAAGAGGGCTGCGAGCGACTCCTCGTCGCCGAAGCGCTTCTCCAGGTTCAGCATCGCCGCCCACAAGTTGTAGCGCTCGCCCTCGGCCGTGAGCTCGATGGTGCGCAGCGCGCGCTCGCCAACCTCGCGCGCGCGCTCCAGCTCGGCGAGCGAGAGCTGCAGCTCCATGTAGTCCACCCACAGCCGCGAGTTGGACGGCTCGCCAACGAGCAGCCGCTCGTAGTCCTCGGCGGTCGCAGCCTCGCCCGACGCGACGTGCGCCTCGCGCTCGCGCATCTCCGCCTCGCGCTCGCGCCACGAGGCGCGCTCCTTGGCCTGCCGGCCGCGCCGCCCGAGCTGCTCCTCCGCCTCCGCCTCCTCCGCATCCCGCCGGCTGGCACCGGCGGCGCCACCAAAGTCGTCCCAGTCGAAGCCGCCCGCAACCCCGCCGCCGCCCGGCAAGTCGGTCCCCGCGCGCAGCCCGGCGAGCGGGTCCTCGCCGCCGAGCGCCTCGGCGAGCGAGGTCGGCTTGCCCGCCCCGCGCGCCCGCGGCTTGACCTCCTCCTCCTCCGCCTCGTCGAGGCCGCCCCCCTCGTCGCTGTCCACGCCAGCCTCGCTGTCGTCCATCTCCTCCTCCTCGTCCTCGTCCTCGCCCTCGTCCTCTTCGTCCTCGTCCTCCTCGTCGCTCTCCTCGCCCGCGCTCTCGCCGCTGTCGCTGCCGTCGGCCTCCTCTCCGTCGGCCGCCTCCGCCTCCTCCTCGCTCTCCGCCTCCTCCTCCTCCTCGTCGTCCGAGCCCGCCAGCTCGCGCAGCCTGCTCGGCTTGAGCGAGAGCGAGATGCGCCGCTTCTCCGCGTCCGTCTTGAGGATCACGCCGCGCACCACGTCGCCCGCCTTGAAGGTGGCCGCCAGGTCCGTCAGCTTCGAGTCCGATGCCTCGCTCGAGTGGCAGAGCGCGTCCAGCCGCTCCGCCCCCTTGCCCTCGCCCCCGCCGTGCAGCCGCACAAAGACGCCAAAGTCGACCACCTTGCGCACAAACCCGGTGACGGCGCGGCCGGCGTGTAGCGCCTCGAAGGTGAGCCGCTTCCGCATGGTGCCGCCCTCCACGTCGGAGCGCTTGAGCGAGAGGGAGGGCAGCGCGTTGGCGCCGCCGCTCGCGAGCTTGACGACCCGCGCGACGACGAGCGTGCCGGGCGGGAGCATCGCCGAGACGCCCTTCTCGTCGATGAACTCGTCCGAGATCTGGCGGAGCGGCACAAACCCGTCGAGCGAACGCGAGAGCGAGACAAACGCGCCGCGGGCCGACGCCTCCTTGACGTAGCCGCGCACCAGCTGGCCTTCCTGCAGCTCGGCCGCCTCGAGCGGGCGCGCGTGCTCGCCGGGCGCGTCGCCAAACGCCGCGACCGACGACGCGCGCAGCGAGACGTCGGCCAGAGGCCGACCGCGCTGCGTGCGCGAGCGCAGCACGACGGCGCGCGCCGTCTGCCCCTCTGACAGCCGGCCAAGCGGGTCCGCCTCCCACGCGTCGACCACCTCGGTGATGTGGACGCGGCCGACGACGCCGTCGGCGAGCTTGACGTCGGCGCCCTTGCCGGGCGCCACTGACTTGACCTGGACCGACACGATGCTTCCCTCGACGGGCTCCGCCAACGCCTCGCCGCCGCCCTCGGCCCGCAGCAGCTGCTCGCCCGGCTCGTCGGCCCGAGGCCGGAGCACGAGCGAGAGCGTGAGGCGCGACCCGCGCTTCTTCTCGCCCTCGCCCTCGCCGCCCTCCTCCCCGCCGGCGGGCTGGAAGGCGACGACGCGCACCGTCACCGGAGCGCCAAACGAGAAGTGCTTTGGCAAGTCGGCAACCACCGCCGGGTCCTCGGACGCCTCGAGCGCGGCCACCCGGCCGGTGCACTTGTGGGAGAGGCAGACCCAGAGCGCGGACCCGGTCGCCTCGCGCACCCACCCCTGCACAATCTGGCCGACGGAGAGGTCGGCTGCCGCGACGCGCGGCGCGATGGCGCCGCCCGCCACGTCGAGCGGCCGCATCGTGCACTCGACGAGGCCAGTGGAGCGGGCGCCCTGCCGGTCGGCCGCCTTGCCGCCGCCCAAAACGACGACATGCACGGGCTCCTCCGGAGAGGCGGAGGGCAAGCTCGCGCGCTGGCCGGGCGCGGCGAGCTCGGTGAAGTGGACGCGCCCGCGCACCGCGCCGCGCCGGTCGAGCAGGACGTGCAGCTCCGTCGTCGACGTGTCGGCGACGCGGGCGAGCGCGTGCACGCCCGGGCGGGCGTCGGTGGCACGGCGCAGCGGACCGACGCCCCCCTCCGACACGGCCGCATCACCGGCGGCCGCGGCGAGCGGCGCATCCACCATGCTCAGCTGCAGCGGCTCTGGCGCCGCGGCGCCCCCATCGGCTGCCTCTGACGGCAGCGACGTCACGACCGCCTGCACCTTTTGGCCAGACGAGTACTTGGCCGCCTCGGCCGCGAGCAGCTCGGGCCGCGCCCCCGCGCCCGACCAGAGGGCATGGTGCGCGGCGACGCCGAGCGCGTGCCCGTGCTTCGGAAGGCTGAGCACGAGCAGCCCCGGCCGCGAGAGCGCGACTGTGGCAACGACGCGGGCGCCGACACGCAGCCGCTGCGCCGCGTCGGCGGCGGCGCTCACCGGCGCGGCGGCGCGCTTCTTGCCGCTGCTCTCCCCGCCCTCTCCGCCCGGCGAGTGCGCGTCGACGAGCTTGTCCGAAGTGGACACATGCACCACGCTGCTCAGCGGGTCGACGTCCAGCACGACGCCGCGGGCGGTCTCCTCCTTCTTGAGCTTTTGCGAGCCGGCGGGCGCGAGGGCCGGGGCGGAGGCGCCGCCAGGAAGCTGCGCGGCGTAGGCCACGCCGTCCGCGGAGGCCCGCTTGGTGGCCGGCTTCCGCAACTCGACGACGGATCCGACGCGCACGGCGCGCAGCGCCTCGAGCGAGAGCGGCGCGGCAGCGTCGCGGGCCGAGCCGAGCGCAGCCTCGACACTCTCGGCCGCCGCGCTGGCCTTTTGTCCCTCCTCCTCGTCGCCCTCGTCGCCGTCCTCGAGGGCGGCTGCCCTCGCACCCGCGATGCTCCACCGCTCGCGGAGGAAGCTCGCGGCGAGCGGCAGCAGCGGCGCGCCCTCGGCGCCGGCGCGCGAGGGCAGGCCGGCGACAGCAGCCGCCTCCGCCACCCCGTCGGCGGCCTCCGCCTTGGCCGCCTCGGCGAGGGCGTCGTGGCCCAGCTGCAGCTGCAACGTCCGCTCGCGGCTGCCGCCGGTGCCGCCCGCCACGAGGGCGAGCACCGACTGGCCGGCCGACAGGAGCGCACGCGCGTCCTCCGACGCGTCTGAGATGTCGGCGGAGGCTGCAAACCCGCGCAGCGGGCCGGCAAAGCCGACGTACGCGCCCTCGCGCTTGACTTTGGCCACCCAGCCGCACAGCAGCCGCACGCCACGGGGCGGCTCCGGACCCGTTGGGAGGCGGCCGCCCGCAAGCGCCGCGCGTAGCGACGGCTTTGCGGTGAGCGTCACGCGGCCGGCGCCGCCGAGCGCCTTTGGCTGCACGAGGAGCACGAGGAGCGGAGGCAGCGAGGCGCCTGGCCGCAGCGCGCGACGCCAGAGCGGGAGGAGCGCCCGCACATCGCCGAGCTGCGAGAGCGGCAGCCAGCCATGGCCGCCGCCGCCACCAGAGAGGGCGACCCACACGCCCTCCTCGCCGCCGCCCTCCTCCTTTGGCGCGGCGCGGTCCTGCCAGCCGGCGACGACGCCACGCACCTCGTCGCCCGCGCGAAGCGCCACCGCGGCGCCGGGAGGGTACTGCGCGGCGGCGCCCGCCTTGGCGGTGCCGCCGTTGCCGACGCCGGTGAGCGCGGGCGTGGCCGCCGCCTGCTCGTGCGAGAGGAGCGAGAGGACGAGCCGGCGCTTTGCCGGCTCCGAGCGGAGCACCCGTGCCTCCACCGTCTGCCCGACCGAGTAGCAGGAAGCCGGGTCCGAGTCCCAGACCGCGCCGAGCGTCGCACGGAGCTCGGAGCCGAAGACGACGCCCTTGACGCCGTTGAGGAAGGCGACGATGAGTGCGGTCGGCCGCACCGCCTCGATGGTGCCGTGCGAGGAGGCGCCCGCCGCCGCGCCGGCGTACGATGCGATGCGAGGCAGCGGCGAGTCGAGCAGCGAAGGCTTGAGCGAGAGCAGGAGGGCGCCGCCCGCCGCACCGCCGGCCTGGCCTTCCGCCAGCGCGGCCGGCGCGCCGCGGGCGCCCGTCCCCGCCGCGAGCACAAGCGCGCGGACGGTGCTGCCCACAGCGAGCCGCGCCTCGGGCTTCTGCAGGCTGCCGTCGGCAAGCTGGTGGCGCGGCGCGTGCCCGCTCAGCGAGCCGCCAACCGGCCCGCCGATCCTCAGCCGCGCGCCCGCCGCGCCGAGCCGGACGATGGTGGCGTCCACCACGGCGCCCACCTCGGGGGTGGCGACGGGGGGCGACGCGCGCTTGAGCACCGACGCGCGCGCAGAGAGGCGCAGCCGGCCAGAGAGCCAGTCGACGCCCGTGACGACGGCGGAGACGGCGGCGCCCGGCTTGAGCTTGCGGAGCGCATCCGCCGGCTTCTGGCCCGGGGAGAGGTCGGCCACGTCGAGCGGGCCGAGCCAGCCCAGCCAGCCGGCCTCCGCCTCGCCCTCCGCCACCTCCGCCTCGCCCTCCGTCTCGCCCTCCTCGCCGGCTGGCGCGCGGCGGCAGGTGAGGACGGCTCCGTCCTTGGCAACCAGCGCCACGCGGCAAGTCACGCGCTCACCCGCCTCGGCGCCGGGCTTGAAGCGCGCCTCCAGCCCGGTCAGGTGCGGCTGCAGCGACAGCGCCACCGTCTTGCGCTGCGGCGAGAGCCAGAGCAGCCGCGCCTTGAGCTTTGTGCCGGTCGGCAGCGCCGTCGTCCAGCCGTCCGAGGAGGAGGCGCCGAGCTGCGCGGCGGAGAGGGAGCCGTCGAAGCCGCCGGCAAAGGTGACGCGCAGCCCGTCGGCAAACACGCCGGATACGGACGCGTTGACGAGCAGCCCCGGCACCAGCGCGTCGAAGCCGAGCGGCGCCGCCGTGCCGATGGGCCGCGCCGCCGCCGCGGGCGCGCCGAGCTCCGTCGCGCGCGACTTGTCGGTGGAAGCGAGGGCGGCGAGGAGGACGGGCCGCCAGCGCGGGGGCGGCTTGCCCTCCGACCCGCCGGCGAGCCCCGCCCAGTGCTTCTTGTGCAGGAAGCCCGTGTGCCCGCCGCCGAGGGAGAGGACGGCCCCATACCTGCGGCCGGAGGGGCGCGACGGGCGGTCGGCGGCCACGGAGCTTGGGCACAAGCACGGTGCGAGGTGGGGCCGCGGGGTTCGAGGGGCTGCGGGTCGGGGACGGGCTCGGCCTCAGGGCCAGATGGTATCACCAAGGAGAGGCGGGTTCAGACGCCGGTCTGGTTCTGCCCTATCTGGTTGACTCGTCACTGGCCGGGCGGCGGCGGGGGCGGTGCGACAAGGGCGGCGGGGGAGGGATGGTGGAGCCGCGTGCGGCGCGTGCGTCGGCGGGCGCGGCGCACTCTTCGACCGACTTGAGCACGCCCCACAGCAGGGCGCCGCGCGGTAGCGCCGTCCCGCTCGACAGCGCCGCCGCCTGGACGCGCGAGAGGCGGGTCGAGACCGTCGAGGGAGGCGTCGAGCGGCTGCCGCGGCCGGAGCGAGGCGTGTCGTGGCCCGCGGGCTTGGGCGGCGCGAGGACGACCGCGGGGAGGAGCTCTCCCACCGCGAGCAGCTTGCGCAGGTCGGGCGGGTGCGCCGCCTCGCCGCCGCCCGCGATCTCGGCGTGCAGCTCGTCCGAGAGCTCGAGCCGCTCGAGGAGCCCGAGATGGCCGTCGGGCAGCGAGAGGATGGCGCGGCTCGAGTGGACCTCGCGCACTGCGCAGAGGGCCAGCGTGCCCGGCGTCAGCTCGGACGCCTTGAGCCGCGCCGCCAACGCCGCCGAGGAGCCGCCCAGCCGCGTGCGGAGGGAGCCGACAGCCTCATCGCCGTCCTCGTCCTCCTCCTGATCCTCCGTGAAGAGGGCATCCTCGCGCGCACGAGCGGCCACCTCACGGCGCTCGAGCGCGCTGAGCGCCGAGCCGCCGCCGCGAGGAAAGGGCGCCTCCTCGTCCTCCATCCAGTCGGCAACGGGCTCCGCCGCCGGCTCTGGCGCGGCCGGCTTCTCCTCCGGATCCGCCCGCTTGTCCGGCTTTGCCGGCTTCGCCGCCTTGGCCGCCTTGGCCGCCTTGGCCTTCTTCTTGGGCGGGTCAGCGGCCTCCGAGGACCGCTTGGTCGAGCCCATGATGGTGGTGTCCTCGTGACTGGCACACAGAGCGGCGCCGGAAGAAATCGCGAGTTTCGTCCTCCTCCCATCCCTCTGTGGTCTGCTGTGTGCTTTTTCTTTACCTTATGCTAGGTAGATCTCGTGGCATCATACGCAGAGAGCGCGATTTCTTCCTGCTCCGGCCCGCCAACGGTACACCCCTCCGCTTGCTCTCCGCCTCCAGACAGCCAGAAGCCACATAAACGCACAATCGGTATGCCCTCCGCCGAGTCGTCGTGGAAGGACGAGTTTCTCCAGTTCTGCGTCGAATGCGAGGTCCTCCGCTTTGGAGAATTCACGCTCAAGTCGGGCCGCTCGAGCCCCTACTTCTTCAACGCCGGCCTCTTCAACACCGGCGGGCGCATCGCCAAGCTCGGCCGCTTCTACGCGCGCGCGATCGCCGAGGCGGGGCTCGAGTTCGACGTGCTCTTCGGCCCGGCGTACAAGGGCATCCCGCTCGCCACGAGCGCCGCCATCGCGCTCTCCGAGCACCACTCGCTCGACGTGCCCTGCTCGTACAACCGGAAGGAGGCGAAGGACCACGGGGAGGGCGGCTGCATCGTCGGCGCGCCGCTCGCGCAGCAGCGCGTGCTGATCGTCGACGACGTCATCACCGCCGGCACCGCCGCGCGCGAGGCCGCGGGCATCATCACCGCCAACAGCGCCTCGGTCGCCGGCCTGGTGATCGCGCTCGACCGGCAGGAGAAGGGCGCCGGCACGGAGCTGACGGCGGTGCAGCAGGTCGAGAGCTCGCTCGGCGTGCCCGTCGTGCGCGTCGCCACGCTCGCCGACCTGATCCGCTTCCTGGAGTCGAGGCAGCCCGAGCAGGCCGAGCGGCTGCGCGCGCACCAGCAGGCGCAGGGCGAGGCGGCGGCGCCGCCGCCTTGACGCCGCCGCCTTGACGCCGCCGCGGACGTGCACGGCGGCCGGCGGCCGCCTGAGGGACGACTCCGGCCTCCGAGCGAGGCTCGCCCTGCTGTTGAGGTTGCGCTGCTCGAACGCTCCGCCATGCGATAGTACCGGCTCCGCCGAGCGTACCAGGGACACAGTTTGGCTCCACCCACAGAGAATTTTCTTCACGGGGCGCGCCGCGCCGCGCGCCTCGACTACCCATGGATCCCAGCAAGATCGACCTCGCCGCCGCTGCGCGGGCGGCAGTAGCTCGGCTCAAGGAGCGGGACGGTGGCACCGGCGACAGCTCGGCTTACACTGCCGCCGCCGCGCGACTGGCCGCACTGCAGGAAGCCGCGCCATCTCAGAGACCTGCGGCACTCATTGCGCGTCTCGACCTGTCCACCCTTTGCTGTCGTAGGCGGCGAATCCCGCGGCGCTGCACGCCTCCTGCTCCGCTGCTCCTCCGCCGGCGCCCGGAGTGGGTCTGCCGCACGCCCCGCCTTACCCAGCCCAGCCGGCCCCGGTTCAGCTTCAGCAGTACGGTGCGCTACAGCAGATGCAGGACGTCTACCTTCAGACGGCGGGCGCGAGCCACCTGCAGACGGCGGGCGGGAGCCACCTGCCCGCCGCTGGCCCGCCGCTGAGCATGCCTCTGCCCGGCTTTGCGGCGGCGGCGTACCCCGGCCTGCAGCCCGTGCCCGAAAAGCAGCGCCCGACGGTGCCGAACGTCCGGTTCGCGCGGAGCCTGATCGGCGCGGCGCTCGGCGACGACAACCGGAAGAAGCGCGCGCGAGAGGCGTCCGAGGAGGAGGCCTCCGCCAACGCGGCGGCGCTGCGCGACAAGGCCAAGGCGAAGGCCGTCGCCGCTGCCGCCGCCATCACGACGCCCATCAGCGCGGAGGAGATCGCCGCCGCGCAGCAGCGGCTCCGCGCGCAGGCGCTCTCGCGCACCATCGAGGCGCGCATCCCTCCCGAGCACCGCGTGCCTGCAAGCGAGCCTGCAGCGGCGGCGGCGGCGGGTGGTGGTGGGAGGGGCGCAGGCCCGGCGGCCTCCCGCTGGGCGCGCAAGGGGATGCGGGTCAAGGTGCTGGGCGGCGCTGCGGAGGGGGGGGGCGGCACCGCGGTGGTGGTTGCGGCGCGCGACCCCGAGTCGCTGCAGCTCAAGCTCGACTCGAGCAAGCAAGTCATCTCGGCGCGCGAGGCGGACCTGCTGCCCACCGAGCCAGAGGCGGGCTGCTTGATCATGGTGGTGGAGGGCGCGCAGGCGGGCCAGGTCGGCGTGGTGGAGAGCGTCTCGCTGGCCGAGCGCACCGCAAACGTGCGCCTGCCGGAGGGGAGCCTCAACTGCTCGCTGCTCGACATCACGCAGTGGGCCCGCGGCTGAGCGGAGAGTTGTGTCGCGACGCTTCGAGTCTGTGAATGACCGCGCGGAGTAGGCGGAGAGCGAGCCCCCAACCGCACGCACGCGCCCTTCCACCATAGTTTGGCGTCTGCAGAGTCTCCAGAGACGCCTATTTTGTTACCGCGAGCATCTTTGCCGGGAGAGCACCACAAATAAATAAATAAATAAAACGGACACCTCTCTACCGTGTGAGATGGGTAAAAAGGAACAGGCCCCCGCCCTTGCGATCACGGGAGAGCACCACAGAGATACTTTAGCACTTGAATTCTCTAGTTTGCTGCGCGAGCTACACCACCGTCCACCCCTACCGTACTGTATACCAGCCTACCAGTGCCGTACCAGTACCACTTGGGCGTTGGGGAGCGACCCGTCCAAGCTCACTTGTTCGCTGTTGGAGTCTCCAATGGAGTGCGAGGTTGGCAACCGCTCACCTCTGGGCCGGCGCGGGGGCCCCAGAGGGTGTCCATGCGGGGGGGAGATGGGGTCCCATGGCCCGCCGCAGGCGCCGATTTTTTCGGATTGTTTTTCTTTTTTGTCGTTTTTTACTTGTTTTCATGGGAATTCGGCGTACTTGCGGCCATGCTATCACGCCTTGCGACAGCCTGTCGGCGCAGCTGACCGTGCCATGATGCACAATTGATCACCTGCATAGCTCGCGGCCTTAGTATCAAGCATTCAGTGACGACCTGATCGTACGGCCAGTAGGAAGGTGTCCTTCCATCGTGTGCACGCTTCTGACGCAATGCGCGTCACCTCGGATTGGCTGCTGGCACTCTCGAGGCTATGCCTACACAGCCTCGCGCGCATGGGCAGTCAAGAGGGACCACGCACCTTCTCAGGACAGCGCCGGTGCCTCTCTCTTGGACCGGCAAACTTGGTGGTATCGTGTCACCAATGTGGGACCAGTGCGGCATCGCGCCATCGACAGCTCTGAACTGCGCCTCACCACTGACCGGGAAGGCCGCCAAGTGGGCCAGCACAGGTCGCACATTGTGGCAGCAGTCAGCAGTGCATGGCTGATAGCTAGAGCAGCAGCGTCAGGGTCGCAGGGTCGGATCGTGTCAAGCCTCTCGCCCGGCCGGCCGCGTGCAGACGTCGGCCTGTCTGCTGTCTGGAGTGATCTGTCGGCGGTCAGTACGACCGATCAGGTCGGAGTTTTCTGATGGTTGGAGGGTCTATCTGTATGTACTCCTCGAGATCTTTCCAAATCTGCCCTCTACTTAACCGTACTTAATCGATAAGTCGGTGCTAGCTGAGACTAGCGGAGCCGGAGCCCCGTTGGCCCCGTTTCCGCACTGCGGCGCGGCGCACGGTGCCTCCGGGGGGCCCCGCGCCGGCCCAGAGCCGCTCACATCCCTGAGGGCCGGGGAGCTAAGAAGGCGCACCCCGAGAGCTGGCCCCGGAACCCGCGCAACCCGTCCCCGCGAGCCGCGACGCCGCCCGAGCATCCGGCCGCGGGCTAGAGAGCCCTAGCCCTGTGGGGTGCGCGGTCGCAGGGCCATAAGCGTCTCCGTGTCTCCGAGGGTTGGTTCCGGAGAGAGATTTTTAGCAATACCCCAAACAACTCTAACACTCACACGTCATTTGGGGCCTGGAGCCCTGTTCACGCGCGCGCGAGACACGTGCAGACAGGGTTGTCAGGTGAGAGCGAATGGCGCGGTTCACGCCTCGCACAACAGAGAGAGAGATGCGCTCTGCATGGTGGGACATAAAAGAGAGCGAGTACTTGGGCGAGTAGGCCGTGCGGTCGACGCTGCCGCGCGCGACTTTGCGCGCGAGGCGGCGCAGCTTGAGAGCGGCGGTGGGCGAGAAGCCGCCGCCGAACGTCTCGTGGAGCAGCAGGTTGAAGTTGTTGCGCTTGACAAAGATCGCGTCGTGGTAGAAACCGCGATGCGCCTTGATTGACGTAGCGGTGGCCGGTCTTGTGGGAGAAGGGTTGGCCGGGCTGCCCGCGCGCCTTGCAGCCCATGTTTAGGCGGCGGGCCTTCTCTTCGGTGTTGCCGAAGGCGTAGGAGTGGCCAACGGAGGCGGGCGTGCCGCCTTGAGGAGGGGCGTCCAGAGCTTGATTTCATTCACTTCATCGCACCCCCCTGGTCCCGCATGGGGTTCTGCGAGGTCAGTCTTGTACCCCTCGTTGTACTGCCGGGTGAGCTCTGGTTTCTCCTTGTCACCGTGCACGACCGGCGCGTTGGCCGGGGCGCGCATCGCGTCCGCCCAGGCGGCGAGGACGCCGTCGTGGGGCCGCCGGTGGTGGGCCGTGTACCGGGTTTCCCTTAACTGCAGAACGCCCCCTCTACTCGGAGCTCTAGGTCTCCGAGAGTTAGTCTGCGCTTTGGGTTTCGAAATGTGAGATTTCGTAAACCGAACGAGAATCTTTAAAAACAAACAAGAATCTTTTGTGTTGAGCCTGTGTAAACAAACAAATAAGGAAAATCTCCTGGAGAGATGGGTGACGCACAAACCCGAGGGACAGCGCGTGTGAGAGCGATTTGCTGGATTAATTTTTCTAAAAAGAAACAGACAACCCAAACGAGGGATAGGGGAGGAGGACAGGAAGAAAGAAAGAAAACAGACAACCCAAGGGAGGGATGCATTGAAAAATTCTTTTCTGCGCTGTGCTCCTCGTACAAAAACCACGCGGGGGGCGCCGGCCGGCGCGTTAGCCTTTCTCGAACTTTCCTCATGAACGACACCTTTGTCTGGGCCCTTGGCGGTCTATGCGTTGCCACGCTCTTCGTACTCATGGGCGTCGGCCTCGACCTTCACTACCGCCTGCTTCCGAGCCGTGCCAAGGCGCGCGCGGCTGGCAAGACACGGATCGACAAGCTCTGCTAAGCAGTGTGACGTCTGAAGTGCTCTTGTGCGCGTGAACGACACTGGCTCGAGTTCTGGCAGCGAACGGCGTCGGAGGAGGCGAGCAGAATCCGCTGTGTGTCGTCGGCTCAAATCCAACCACCCTCCACAGTCCACCCCGGTACGTTCAACGCCGGACATCGCGACACCAATGGAAAGGAGTTGGTCCTTGGCTCGTGCTGAGCGCTCCCAGGCGAGCGGGTGCTGCTGAAGTGGCAAGCGCATAGAGCTGTCGACGACCAAGACGAACAAGACGGGACCAAGACCTACGACTCTAACGACTCGTGGCACGCGGCACGGCGCAGCTCAAGTTGCGCAAATGGAGGGCTGCACCATTCCCTCGCTCGAGCCGCGCGCGCCTCGACTGGGCGGTCCACTACCTCTCCTTGCCGTGGAAGCTGCTCTTCGCGTGCATCCCGCCCACGCTCTTCTTCGGCGGAAAGGCCACCTTCGTCGTCGCGCTCGTCTGCATCGGCGCCGTCACCGCGATCATCGGCGACGTCGCCGCCCTTTTCGGCTGCGTGCTCGGCATGCCCGACGCGATCACCGCGATCACTGTCGCGCTGGGCACCTCGCTCCCCGATGTCCGACCCCACCGCCGACGCCGCCGTCGGCAACGTGACTGGCTCGAACGCGGTGAACGTCTTCCTCGGCCTCGGGCTGCCGTGGATGATCGGCGCGCTCTACTGGAGCCGAAAGGGCGCGACGCCCGAGTGGGCGGCGCGCTACCCCGACCAAGCCGCGCTCTACCCGCAGGGCGGCTTCGTCGTCCCCGCCGGCGACCTCGGCTACTCGGTGACCGTCTTCTGCGTCTGCGCCGTCCTCTGCCTCGGCATGCTCACGCTGCGCCGCTCGGTCCTCGGCGGCGAGCTCGGCGGGCCGAGCTGGGCGGCGGCGCGCGACCGGAGCCAGGGCGGCGGCGTCGCGCAGGCGCTGCTCCAGAAGCGGGTGGTGGCCGTCTTCTTCCTCCTTTTGTGGGCGGTGTACATTGTCGGCGTGACGTGTGAATGATTTTACTTTTAAGGGATTGTGTGGACCTGGCCTCTTAGTGCCCGTGTTTCCCAGCTTCGCACAAAAGTCGTCGTCGACGAGCGCGGCATCTGCGAACAAAACGGCTGGGTGCAAAAAAGTCATCCAGAAGCGCCGCCCCTTTCCACCCTGGCACGTGGCACCGGCAACTGCCACGCGGTGGCTGCCGCACAGCAGGTTGGTGTAGCGACATGGGCAGTGGTAGCCGCAAAACGTGGCATTGGTTGCCTCCCCTTGAAAAGTGAGCTTCAGCTCCCCAACATACCCCAGGGCGCGGTGACCGTTGCGCTGCCGCGAGTTGACGCACGAGAAGTCGTGTGCCTCGAGCAGATTCAAGAGGCCTACTCAGATCTGAGTTGCTACCTGTCGGGCCACGCCATTGCTGGGAGGCGTTGCAAGCGCGCGCAAAAAATATTCAATGGATGCGTCAGTGGGAGTGCGCCTCGCCCCCACTTGCCCTGACTGCACAGGGTTGCGTGCCCCGAAGACGGCGACACATAGCGGGGGACACTGCGCAAGGAGAGGGTGCGAAGCCAAGATTGGGGTTCTAGGTGGTGGGACCATGAGGGGGGGAGGCTTCAGAATGGACCCTCCCCGAGCTCGATTTTGACCCATAACTAGACAGAACGGCCCCAAATCGGCCCGGAACCGACCCGTGGGCCCGTCTGCCGCACCCAGCTCCGCCGGGAGGGGCGCGCGCCGTTCCCCGCGGCTCGGGCGGGCCACGCAGACGCGGCGGGAGAGCTTCCCGTGCCCTGTGAGTGCCGCCACACCGCCTCAAATAGGTCCCAAAGTAGGGTTTGCCTCAAGTGTCATGCCCCTTATCTAGATAAGACGCTTATATGTTATAAGGTAATTTCTCGCAGCTGCGAGACAAGTTTTCTCGGAGCGACAGCCTCAAAGACAAAAGGGTGGATGGGTGGGGGACGATTGCGGGCGAGCGCCAGCGCGCCCCAGGAACGGTGGGGTGCCCTCGACCGCGCGTCCGAGTCACTTGGGCGGACGAGCGAGCGGCACATGGCCCGACAAAGAGAAATCGGAGTCTGGCGACGAGATCGATAAAAGAAGTGCAGGGGCCACCGCGGCTTCCACAACTCGCGCTACATCGAGCGCACCACGGCGCCTGCCCCACCGACCGAGGACGAGGAGCGGGGAGGCCCCAACAGCAGCGACTACGACTCCGACTACGACGACCCTCCGCGGACGCGTGTGTCGTATGGCTGGGGAGCCCCGTTCTCCTGGCTGTGGACGTGGGGCGACGGCCGAGGGAACTGGAACGGGCCGCCGCACGGCTTCATGAACGGCGGCTGGGCCACGCACCCCTGCGCTCCGGAGCTGGTGGTGCGCGGCAACCGGGAGAGGGGCGCCGAGCCAGTCCTACCCATGAACCGGCCAGACTGGCTCGAACCCGGACCCGCACCAGACTGGGGCCAGGCGCCGTACGCTCTCGCAAGTCGACTCACAGCCGACGCTCTCAGTGCGCACGACGCCGCCCTCGCCGCCGGGCACGAGCCGCCGTCACCCACGGGCTCGGACTTCCAGCTGCCAGGGACGCGCCGGTGGTACCCTGCCTCCAACAGCTCAGATCAGTCGCGTATCTCCCGGCCCAGGACGCCGCCCGATGATGGGGTCCCCCTCGAACCCGGAATGGTCCGAAGCGTCTACGTCTTCGGCAGTGCCGCCGGTCATCGGACGGACTTCAGCCCGCCCTCGACGACCGACTACGCCGATCCAACAGGGATGGCAACGTAATCGCATCAGAGAGCGACAAGTTCACTCAATCAACTTGGTGCGATCACGTGGCCGCCGGTTCGAACTCAACGGTTCGCCTGGGGTGAGCCACCTGTCCATGCTCGCCTGGGTGACGGCGTTAAAATACCATCGTGAGCTACCTGTCCATGCTCGCCTGGGTGACGGCGTTAAAATACCATCGTGAGCTACCTGTCCATGCTCGCCTGGGTGACGGCGTTAAAATACCATCATGAACTACATGCCCATGCTCGCCTGGGTGACGGCGTTAAAATACCACGCAGGGCCCGGGAACGCAATACCATTGCCTCCTTTGGTTGCTCTCGTTGCGGACTGGGTGACGTCCTTAAAATACCTTCCATTCGTCTGGGTGACTGACGTTAAAATACCTTCCATGCGTCTGGGTGACTGACGTTAAAATACCTTCCATTCGTCTGGGTGACTGACGTTAAAATACCTTCCATTCGTCTGGGTGACTGACGTTAAAATACCTTCCATTCGTCTGGGTGACTGACGTTAAAATACCTTCCATTCGTCTGGGTGACTGACGTTAAAATACCTTCCATTCGTCTGGGTGACTGACGTTAAAATACCTTCCATTCGTCTGGGTGACTGACGTTAAAATACCTTCCATCGGACTGGGTGACTGTCCTTAAAATACCTTCCATCGGACTGGGTGACTGTCCTTAAAATACCTTCCATCGGACTGGGTGACTGTCCTTAAAATACCTTCCATGACCACCCGCCCACCCGGTCAACATCACGTGGGAGAACGCCGATACGTTATTGGCGCCAGCGCCTGCTGTTGACAAGTGGGGAACAAACGGCTTCATCGCAAAGCTGCCCCCAGCAGGCGTCTTGACGGGTATCAAAATTCTTCCCTACGAAAGAGGCCAACGGACCCGAGAAGGTAATTTCTCGCAGCTGCGAGACAAGTTTTCTCGGAGCGACAGCCTCAAAGACAAAAGGGTGGATGGGTGGGGGACGATTGCGGGCGAGCGCCAGCGCGCCCCAGGAACGGTGGGGTGCCCTCGACCGCGCGTCCGAGTCACTTGGGCGGACGAGCGAGCGGCACATGGCCCGACAAAGAGAAATCGGAGTCTGGCGACGAGATCGATAAAAGAAGTGCAGCGTTTCCTCTGAGGTGCCTCAGAGGTGCACTACACCTCTGAAGGTGCCTTTCAGAGGTGTACTTCAGGAGCAGAGCTGACGTCAGTCTTGCGCGCTCCCTCTCTCCTCGTCGAACCCACCACCATCCCCTTTCGCCTCCTATCTGTCTTGTGTGTGCCTTGCTGGGGGGAACAAACGGCTTCATCGCAAAGCTGCCCCCAGCAGGCGTCTTGACGGGTATCAAAATTCTTCCCTACGAAAGAGGCCAACGGACCCGAGAAGACGTCTTATCTAGAAATAAATAAAACGGACACCTCTACTGCGTGGGTGCGATCTTTGTGCAGGGTTCTTTGTGGATACACGATCTAGAGCCGTACACACACACACCCAATAAACCGTCCTCTATGTAGTCCTGATCACGTCACGTACTCACAGCGACGCAGAGCGCTCCCTGGAGCGCGCCACCGGGCCCATGCCGACGACGCGCTCCTGGAACGATTGGGCGCCTTCCTCTGCTGCGCCGCCCGCAGAGAGCAGCCGCACGATCACGCGCTCCTCCTCGCCCGGCGGCGGGCTCGGCGAGCAGTCGAGCGAGAGCCGGCGTACGAGCTTTATTGCTGCGGCGGCGACGCGCAAGCGCCACTGCCTCGGCGATGGCTGCAGCGTGGGGACCGACAAGGGCGGCTCCGCCTTGGCCTCCGCGACCAGCGAGTGGTACCTTTGGTTGAGAGAGAGATTGCGCGTCACGGGCGTGTGGAGGGGGGTGGACGGCGCGCTTACTCGCCGCAGTGCGCGTGTGCAGCCAAGGCACCTCCAGAGCACAAATCCGGTGAGCACGACGGCGAGGCCCGCGTAGGTCATCGCGTTGGCCGACTCGCGGTACGGGCCGAGCACCGGCAGCGAGAAGCCGAGGGTGGTGAGGGGCAGTAGCAGCGCGTACGAGATCGAGTTTAGGACGGCGCCCGCGTGCTTCGTCAGCCAGAGCCCGAGAGTGTTGAAGCAGAAGTTGACGCCGACGTACACGCACAGCAGAGCGAACGCGTGCCGTTCGGTGCACGCCGCGTCGCGCTCTGCGAAGCACGCGGCGCCGTCGGCGAACGAGCTCGCAATCTCTCCAGGCCGCATGCCTCGGGCGGTGCCGACGCCGGGAAGCAGCATCAGCGGGGCGAGCGCAAAGCCAAACAGCATCTGCCAGATCGAGACCCACTGCGTGAGGTACGTGACGTCCATCGGCTGCGCGGCAAAGTGAGCCTCCTTGTACACGGCCGAAAGGGCCATAGGAACGTTCGAGAGCCAGTAGAGAGCCACGGCGTACCAGCGCGCCTGCAGTTGACAGTAGTATAATAAGCAACGACGCTAGAACGGGAGCAGCGAGGGCACCACCGAAATCACCGCGCCGCTGACGAGGAGGGCCGCCGCTCCCAGCTGTCCCGTCGAGTAGCGCTCGTGCAGGAAGAGGGCGCTCGCTGCCATCGTCGCCGGGATGAGGGACTGGTTGAGGAGGGTTTGGAACTGGCCGGGTGTGTACACGGCACCCATCGCCGTCAAGAAGGTGCCGAAGCATATATTGAGTTATGTTCCGCTCAATGTTACACATCTTTGCCTTTTTGCAAAAACACTACGCCCGTGTTTTCGCAGCTGCCGCATTTGTCGTCGTGCGGGTGCTCTCGGCGAGACTCTTTGCGTGAGCGAAGAGTTGGCGCGCGTCGGTCAGTACTGCTTCCAAACCGTCCGCGCCAGCACGAGATACATGGACATGGGGCCCGTCGCCGATCACGTCGAGTCGCAAGTCGGCCTCCGAGAACCACGGGGCGGAAGTGAATGCTGGTAAGTCTAGTCTGCTATCACTCGGCGATGCGTCGAGTCCAGCAGCGTCGACGAGAGCGAGGCTCTCGCCATCAAGCATTGTCAACTGCAACACAACGCGCGGGAGACGCGTTGAGATGTGTGAGCTGTGAGAGGAGCGGCGGGACGCCAGACGCTCCTGTGGAACGAGACGCCGCAGCACGACGCGGTACTGGGGATGCGTGCAGCACGGATTCGACGACGCGTCAGGCGGCGAGTCATGTTGGGTGGGCCGCTGTAGTTGGAGGTTGCGGAGCTTGGGCAATGGCTCGAGGCATGACGCGTCGTCGACTGAGGTGATTCGGTTGCCGTCGAGCAGCAGCGCCTGAAAGAGGCCAGAGCGGTGGTGAGCACGCACTATTTCTGTGTGCGGCAGATGTGATCGTGTCTTGCCGCCTCAAGCGCGACGAGCGACTCCACCCCTTGGATGGTTGTGATTTCATTGTCCGACAGCGCGAGCCGCCGTAGCTGCGCGAGGGCTTCCAGCCCCTCCATTCGACCAATGCGATTGTGTGATAGGTCAAGATGCCGAAGATTGACGCACCTGAGAGAACAGGGTAGGAGTTCTTGGGACAGGCACTTCCTGGCTCCGCGTACCACTCGCTGAGCTGCGCACGCACGGTGCCAGCGCCTCGATCACGCGGAGCCCGGCTCGTGGCATGGCGAGAGAGTGCACGTCGGCGCAGTCGTACTGGCCGGTGTTCGCCTTGACGGCGTCGCCGGTGAGGCGCGATGTGGCCATTGTGGGGTATGGCAAAGCAGCGTGTAACGAAGTCGAGGATATCTTTTTTATGTCAGTGGCCCTTACCGTACCATTCCCGGAGGAGGACGTTGCTCAGGGGTATTCACCGCGCTATTCTTCCTTCTCGCCTTCTCGCCGCGCGTACACGCGCTCTGCTTATGTGCGACGTCGAGTCGGAGCCTGAGCCGGCGCCTGCCGCGGCCGCGGCCGATTGCGAGGAGGCGCCCGGCGACGTCGGGACCACGCGTCTGCCGGATCTCTCGCCCGACGGGTGGCCAATCTACCCGTCTGTGACGGAGCGGTACTTCACAACGTACGTGACCTCCAACCACCAGGCGCTGCACGTCCACTCCAACGGGATCTGTCTGCTCGGCCTCGCGCCATCGCACCCGCTGCTGGCGCCCGGCGCGGCGCGGATCACCGGCGTCGCGTTCCGAGACCACGACGCCAAGAACCTGCTCGCCAACGAGGTGCGCGGCAAGCGCAAGAGCGGCGCAGTCTTTGTGCTGCCGCGCGATCTCGTCGCCTCCGTCACCACCGAGGCCGGCGGCGACCCGCTGCCGCTGTGGGCGTGTGTGCGCGCCAACGTGATCGAGGTGAACCGGCGGCTCATCGAGGAGCCGGAGCTGCTCGGCTCGGCGGGCGGCCGCGGCTGGCTCGCGGTGCTGATGCCAAAGATGGCGGAGAAGGGCTCGATCGGCGCCGCGCTCCTCGAGCTCGACAGGCGCGACGCGGCGGGGAGAGGGAGCGGCACCGAGGAGGGAGGAGGGAGGACGGAACAAGGGGGCTTGCGCTACTTGCGGAAGGGTCTTGAGCCCCCCCACTCCGCTCCCGTTCGCAGGACGGCGCCGCTCCGCGACCCGACCGGCAACCACAAGCGGCGGCGCGACCAGCAGGACGCATCGGCGCCCGGCGGCGACGAGCAGCAGCCGCGCGTGAGCAGGAAGGCTGCCAGGCGAGCCAGGGTTTGCTGGGACTTTGCAGAGACCGGAACGTGCAAGTTTGCCGACAAGTGCCGCTTCCGGCACGCGGCGCCGTCCGAGGCGCCGTCCGAGGCAGCACCGTCCGTCGGAGGGGCGGAGCCATCAGGCGGCGCAGAGGCGGGCGAGGCTGCTGATGCCGGCGATGGGGGCGAGAGCGGAGGGGTCGGCAGTGGTGGCGCGGAGGGGGGGTGTTGGTGCTAGGGTGCTTTTCGCTCTTTTGACCGTGGCGAAAAGAAATAAAGAAAGTGAGCACGCCCCCGCCTGCTGGCAGACCTGCTTGGGGGTATGGTAGGGCTAGTCTTGGGCGGTCAGGACCAATGATGCTACCATACCTTCCACAAAGTAAAAACCCGGCGACGAGTACGCGCTACAAGCGCCCACGCCCGGGGCCCGCCTGCCGCACACATACATGGACCTCTTCGACGGCTCCGACGATGCTTCCGATGCCGCTGGTGAGGAGGAGGGCGTCATCGGCCGCGTCGGCGATCAGCTCACCGTCAACAAGTCGTACGCCAGCCGCTTTGAGAACCGGAAGCGCAAGCAGGAGATGGCGCAGCTCCGGCAGTTGCACGGCGATCTCGACTCGGAAGAGGACGCCTCGTCCGAGGATGAGGACGGCAAGATGCTCACGCGCGAGCTCGACCTCAAGATCTTCAAGGCCATCGACGCTGTTCGGCAGAAGCGTCCCGAGGTCTACAAGCCCGAGGCGGCCTTTTTCGACCAAGGGGAGGGTGCGGAGGGCGAGGACAGCAGCGGCGACAGCGACGGGGAAGGTGGCGAGAAGGACGGAGCTGGGAGCTCGAGCGCCAAGGCGCCGGTGACCATGCGGGACCATCTCCGCACGCACGGCGCTGCTGCTCTCGACGGCTCCGCCGACGAGGACGAGGAGGAGGAGGAGGAGGAGGAGGAGGATGGTGCCGTCGGCGCGCGCGCGCGCGCCCGGAAGCGGCAGCAGCTCGCCTACGACGACGAGCAGCGCGAGCTGCGGAGGGCGCTGTCGGTCAAGACCTGCGGCGCAGGCGCAGAGGGCGCGGCGGACGAGGAGGACGAGGAGCTGCTGATTCGGCGGGAGGTTGCGCCCGAGGAGCGGGAGGCGGAGGCGGACGAGTACGCGTCGTGGCTCAAGCAGCAGCTCTCCAGGGCGGGCCCGGTCGACGAGGCGGTGACGCTGCGCAGGTGCACCCTCCGGGGCGACCATAGCGACAAGAGGGAGGCGACCCGGCGTCATCAACGCCTGTTCATCATAGGTACATGCTCGAGGAGGACCTGCCGCCAGACGAGGCCTTCCTGCGCGACTACATGCTCAACGCGATGTGGAAGCGGCCGGTCGAGGCGGACGGGGGCGGGGGCGGCGACGGCGTGGGCAGCGACGGCGAGGGCGGCGGCGAGGAGGAGGGCGAGGAGGCGGGCGGCACCTTCAGCGACCGCGAAGATGATTTTGAGCGGTCGCACAACTTTCGGTACGAGGAGGCGGGCGCGGCGCGCGTGGTGTCGCACCCGCGGCAGGTGGAGGGGTCGCTGCGCCGGCAGGCCGAGCTGGGGCGCAAGCGGCAGGCCAAGGCGGAGGCGAGCGAGCGGCGCGCGGCGCTGAAGGAGAAGAAGGCTGCCGAGCTGCGCCGGCTCAAGAACCTTAAGAAGGCGGAGATCCTGGAGCGGCTGCAGGCGATCGAGAAGGTGTCGGGCGGCGCGGGCTCGCTCGAAGGCGTCGACCTGAGCGGCGACTTCGACCCGGACGCGTGGGACAAGCAGATGGCCGCCGTGTTCAACGACGACTACTACGCCGCCGCGGACCCGGAGCTGGCGGCCGAGCTCGAGGCTGCCGAGGAGGCGGGGGTGGGCTGGGGCGAGGAGGAGGCGGGCGGCGAGGCGGACGTTGCCCCCCCGGAGGAGGGAAAGCGCAAGCGCGGCGGGCGGCGCGGCAAGGCGGCGGCCGAGGGCGGCGCCGCGGCCGGGTCGCAGGAGGCGGGCCCGTCGGCGGAGCTGCAAAAGACGACGCAGCAGTACATGGACGAGTACTACGCGCTCGACTACGAGGACGTGCTTGGCGAGGGAGAGGACGCGCTGCCCACGCGCTTCAAGTACCGTGCGGTCGAGCCTGCCGGCTTCGGGGTGGGCCGCCAGCCCCTACCGCCCCACCAGCCACCCGCACGATGCCCATGGGAGTGCCCCTCGCTGCCTTGCCCCCTCCCCTCCGGCTCTGACGGGCCCCCGCCCGCCCACCGCCGCGCAGCTGACCGACCGCGAGCTGCTCGAGCTCGACGACAAGGAGCTCGGCAAGATCGTCCCCACCCGGCTCGTCAAGCGGCCGTATGCGCAGTGGGACGCCGCGCGCGTCAAGTCGCGCGCCAAGCGGGTGCGGTGGGAGGCGGAGGCGGCGCGGCGTGCTGAAGAAGGCAGCGCGGGCGGCCCAGGTAAGCGCGGCGGAAGGTTGGCGGAGCGTCCGGCAGGCGACGAGAGGAGGGAGAAGATAAAGCGGCCGCGCGAGGCTCCCGAGACGACCCCGGCGGCACAGGCACAGACCTCGACCAAGGTGGCGGCGGCAAGCCGGCTCGAGGCCTTTGCGAAGGTGAACAAGCGCTCCAAGCGGGAGGCTCGCGAGGCGAGAAAGGAGCGTAAAAAGAAGGGGACCTTTTGAGTGCTTGCTGTAAGTAGAGGAGTACGCCACTGTCCTCTCACGAGACGAGAAAAAAGTAATATAGGATAAATAAATAAAACGGACACCTCTACTGTGAGATGGGTGGAAAGGAACAGGTCCCCGCCCTTGCGATGTTTGTGCAGGGTTCGTTGTGGGTGTGGTCGGCGACTAGCCGGGGTCGTCCTCCCGATGCGGGGGACTAGCACTAGCTGTCTTCCACATGAGGTCCCTCGGAGCGCGGTAATACACGGTAGTCGGTACGGCTTTAGTCGGTAGCGGACCATCCGCGTTATTACACTTCAACAGGGCAACTCGGCCACGGCACGGCGACCTTCTGAGTATGTTGGCATCCCGCGGGGCCGCGGCCCGGCGCGCCCGGCCGCACGGGGCGTACACGGGTTCGCGTCAAACCGTTTTTGAGTTTTGGGGAAGTCACAAAAAGTGCGTCACACCGCCCCCTGCGCCTCCCTGATCCCTTCCTCCAACGACCAGGCTCGATCGCGCTCCTCAGCGGTCAGCCTTCGCCGGGTGTGGGTCTTTGCGGCAGCATTGGCGGCAGCCATTGCCCGTGCCATCGAATCCGACATGGTTGCCAGCTTGGAGCCTGGCTGGCTCGCCTGCGATTGTTGCGTCAGTGGCGGCCTCGTCCGGCCAGCAGCTCGCTCCTTGGTGGTGACCTGCAGCTCCGCAAGAGCACGCTGCAGGAGCAGCGAATCACTCGCCGCCAGCGCGTCAGGGACCGGACAGCCGAGCAGCAAGGCCCCGAGAGCGCGGCGCGCCTCGAGCGACAACGCAAACGGATCGCAAAGTAGGGAATCTGTGACGGTCAAAATCCAATGCCACTCCAAGGTTCCACCGCTGCGGCCCAGTACGTCAAGGAGCTCAACTATTTTGGATCGCTCGAGCGACGGCGCGATCTCGGGAAGCGATGCCGCTGCCACAAGCAGCGGCATCCCGTGGCAGCGGAGCTCCTCATCCGAGGCTCGGAGCGCGCCGATCAGAAGAGGGAGGACGCCCGATGCATCGAGCTCACGCAGACCTTCGTCGTCGAGCGCGAGCCATTGCATCAACTCGACGACCATGACACTGAGCGGGTCCCCCTCGAGGAGAAGGTGGCGCAGAGCCTCCCAAAGTGCAGGGGAGCGCACGCGGCGTGCCAGTTGCGTTGCGACGCGGCGAGACGGGCCATGCGACAGCTCACACGTGAGCCTGTGCACCGCACCAAAACGAACGCGTGCCGGTGCGTGCTCGTCGACTATGCTGGAGACGTGTCCTTCCGCTGGGTCCGCCATGGGGCGCGGAAGTCGTTTCGGATCCGCGCATTCACAAAGCTCGCCGTGTCAGACAATCAGTAGCCTGGCGTTTGTGCCCCGCGTCCGTGCCGCCGCCTTTCATTTTATAAATTCACAAGCCGAATGCGTTCCCTATCCGCGCGAACACCCAAAAAAGTGTTCTTGCTCCCAGCGCTTGCGCTTCGGCGGTTAGTGGTGCACTAACCTCCGAGAAACCCATGGGCGGCGGCGAAGAGAGGCGGGAGAGCTGGGTCCAGTGCGCTCTGCTCTGCTGGGGGGGTCGGGACCCCCCCCCCTAGCAGCAGGGATGAGCTTAGTTGTGCAGGGGGGGTACCGAGCAGTGTCCGGCCGCTCGGTTGCACGCAGCACGCTCTTGTGCGCCGATGGCGATGTGCACCCTGCCTCTGCGCACTGGAGCGGCCGCACCCCTAGCAGCAGAGCTCTGCCTGTGGGGGGTGCTGGCATCTCTGTATAGACAGCGAGCTGAAGCAGCATGCGTTCCAGGGCGAGAATATATGGTCGGCACCACAAAATCAGTGGTCTCACCGGCGGGCCCTCCTACTGCCAGCCGGGCGGTGCGGTGCGGACGCCAGCCTCTCTTCTACGCCTCTCGTGCCTCGCGGCGCCTCTGCTTCAGCAAGGAGGGAACATACGGCTCTCGCAGCCGTGGCACAGCGGAGAGCACAGCGGGCTGTCCGTACAAGTCAATCAGATATTGTTCCCTATCTTCGCATGCTCGTCGTTTTGGTGATATCCGCGCGAGGTCATACGCCACAGGCCAGCAATCACACTCGGTGATGAGACTGCTGATGTAGGCGCGACGCTCTGACACCGAGTGTTGCTCGACGCCCGAGTGAGTGGTCTCGACCCTTGATCGCAAGATTGGCTCAACGCGTGAGTTGGCGACGCGCCACTCGAGTTCGCTCCAGGCGGCGGGCTTGGTCGACCCGAGGAGAGTCTTGGCAACCTCGGATGACTCGACACCTAATTGAGTGGTAGACAAGAGAGACTCACAAGTATTAAGTAAAACGCCAGCACTCGACACGACGAAGGTGTATTGGGCTCGAAGGCGCGGTCAACACACCGCCTCGAGCGTTGTACCCCGCTCGCACATGATCGTGGCACGTGGGGGGGGGGGGGGGGGGGTGTTGAAGAAGTGCGAAGAGAGTGGAGCTGGGCCCAGTGCGCTCTGTGGCTGCTGGGGGGGTCAGAACCCCCGCCCTAGTCGACCCCCTAGCAGCATGGCCGGGCTTAGAAGTGCAGGGGGGGTACCGAGCAATGTGCGGCCGCTCCTGTCGGGTGACGCGCATGGTGACGAATAGTGTGCGCCCGCGTCGTCAAAACGACGACGAAGGAGATCGCATATATACACCGCGGCGCAATCATGCTTGGGGACAGCGCCCCACCCAGCGCACACGATAGAGACAAGCCATCCTCCGGGGCGCAGAGCGCGTGAGCTACCCATTTCACCTTCCCCGCGCACACACAGACACTGAGCTCACCTCCTCTCTGGTCTCAACGCTCGTGCTGCTGCTGCGACCTCTCTCCCGCTCAAGCGCCGGGAGGCAGGGAGGGGGAGCAGTGTGGCCCACTGCCTCACGCCCACGCTGCGTTGAGGTCCCTGCGGGCAGAGTACATGCTGGTGGCGACGGTAGCGACGAGCATGCCGAGGCAGGCGCCGAGCAGCCCGAGCTTGTTGAAGTCCTCATTGAGCTGCCGCGGGGGCGGAAAGGGCGGAGGGCGGCGGGTCACGCGCGGCGGCGGCTGCTCACCGGGGGGGGGGGGGCGGGGGGCTGGAGGGGAGCGACGCCGCCGCCCGCACCTGGTCAAACGTGCGCGCCGGCGCGGCGCGCGTGAGGAAGAGGTCGAGCCCGTAGCTGAAGACGAGGCTCGTCGACTCGAGGACGGTCGGCGCGGCGACGATGGCGCGCGGCCGAGCGACCGTGTGCCGGTGCGAGACGACCTGCAGCGCGTTGATGCCGCCGAGCGAGGGCGAGTAGGGCACGAGCCCCTCCTCCTTGTCGGCGGCCGACATCTTTTGCGGGTGCACGAACGGGCGGCGCGGGTCGAAGAGGCGCGTGTCGTACGCGACGAGCTCTCCTGCGGGGGAGGCGTGCCGAGGAGGTGCCGAGGATGGGTCGGGCCGCCCGCCCCGGGGAGAGGCGGGGCGCGCGGCGGCGGGCGGCGAGGCTCGCCGGCGGATGTCGCGACGACGACCTGCTTGGGCGTGATCCCCTTCTGGGTGAGGGTGAGCCCCATCGCCGCGATCGAGGTCGGGAACGCGTACGACTGCGAGAGGACGAGCGGCGGCGGCGCGGCAAACGCGTCGAACTGGTTCTTGCGCAGGGAGGGGTCGAGCGGGCCCATCGCAAGGAGGGAGAGGACGCCGCTCGCGACGGACGAGTTGACGTACAGCTCCGCCGCCGTCAGCGTCGTCTGCGGCCCGTCCCGCCCCTCGGCACGGTACGAGTAGAGGAGGGTGTTCTCGCCGAGCAGCAGCGAGAGCGGGCCGGCGCAGTTCGAGTGGCGGGCCGAGTGGAGGCGGCGGCCAGAGACGGAGTCGAGGAGGAGGAGCTGCACGTAGGGCGCCTCGCCGCCCGCCGGCTTCACCTCCGACCCGACCGCGAGCACGTTCCGGTTGATGTACTTGTGCAGCACCGAGCGGTCGCCCTTGGTGCGCACCGCCGAGTGCACCGCCGCGCGGTGCGAAAAGTAGGCGGTGCGTGAGCTGGCGGCCGGCGGCAGCGCGACGGACCAGCGCGCGCTCGCGCGGACGCCGCCGCCGGCCGCGGCGACGAGGCCGAAGCCCTGCACCTGGCTCGGCGAGACGAGGTGGAAGAAGGTTGTGGAGAGGCGACTCGCCAGCTCCGCCCCGGCCGCCGGCGTGGCGGGGTGCGTCGTCGCGCCGAGCGACGCGTCGACGAGGAGGAGTGTGCCTGCGGCAGAGCCGGGCAGCTGCGCCGCGTGGACCAGCTCGCCCTCCTCGCGCCGCTCGCCGACGAGGGACCCGTCGAACGGGCCCACCGTCAGCACCGCCCACCGGCCGCCGTCGGTCGCGACGACGTGCACCAGCGCGGTGGCGCCCGAGCCGGAGACAAAGGGGCCGCGCAGCAGCGGCGGCGGGGCGCCAGGCGCGAGGGGGGGCACGTGGCGCGACCAGAGGACCGCCCCGGTGGAGGAGTGCAGCCCGAAGAGCTTGGACGCCGCCGTCGCCGCCACGACCACCTGCCGCGAGCCGTACGCGTCGCCGAGCAGCAGCAGCCGCTTCGCCTCGGCCTCCGCCTCGGCCGCCGAGCGCTGGAGCGCCTCGAGGCGGCTCTTGATGCCGTCCGCGACGGCGGGGAGCGCGAAGCCGAAGAAGGGCCGCTGCTCCGCCGCGCCCCGGTCGATGGCGATCGCCGGCAGCGGGAGCAGCTCCGCGCCGCTCACCGAAGCCAGCGCCTCCTCGCGCACCCACAGCCGGCCGCCCTCGCCCTTGCCGCCCTCGGCGGCCGCGGCGGCGGCGCGCACGTGGAGGGCGAGCGCGTCGCCGGCGGAGCGGACGAGCAGCCGCGCGCCGGTGCTCCCGTCCTTGCGCGCGTACGGCCCCACCCACGCCGCGAAGCCCGCGCCGAGCTCGCCGTCCGCCTCGCCAAGCGGCTCTGCCGCCGACCACTCGCACGCCGCGCTGTCGGCGGCGAGCTCGCACGTCTGCAGGGTGAGGGCGCCGGCCTCGGCGCGCGCGAGGGCGAGGAGCGCGCCCCCCTCCTTCCACTCCGCCGCCGCGAGCGCCTGCGCCCCGCCCGCCGCGGCCGGCGCGACGTGCTTGGCCAGCCGGGCCGGCGCGCTGCCCTTGCCGAGCGCGACGACGGCGGATCCGCCGCCGGCGAGGGAGAGGAGGGCGCCGCCCGGGAGCGGGGTGGGCGAGAGCGCCTCCGCCGCCGCGCCCGCCGGCAGGAGCGCGGCGAGCGGGTGCGCCTCCGCCTTGCCCGACCCGACCGCGTGCACGACCAGCTTGGCCTTGTCGGCCGAGAGGCTGACCAGCCGGCTGCCGTCGGGCACGGCGACGAGGGGCGCGCCTCCGAGCAGCGCCTCCCCCTTGATCAGCTCGACGCCCTTGGAGGCGGGGGCCCCGTCCGAGGCGCCGAGCGTCGCGACGGCGAGCCGCCCGTCCAGCACGCCGTACGCGCGCACCTCTCCGCCCTGTGGCACGAGCGCCGCCACGCGCAGGCCCGCCTTGTCGGCGGGCGCGGTCCACCGCCAGAGCTCCTTGCCGGTGGCGGCGTGCAGGGCGAGGACGGAGGTGGCCGACGCGGCGTAGATGGCGACGTCGGTCGCCGCCGTCACGGGCGGCGCTGCCGCGTCCCCCACCGCGTCGAGCACGGCGTCCCAGAGGAGCGCGCCCGAGTCGGAAAAGAGCCGCACCGAGCCGTGGGCGCGGCCGTCGCGGTGGGCGACGCCCGTGGAGAGCACGCCCGAGGAGCCGAGCGCAAGCAGGCCGCCCACCGACTCGCCCTCGGGAAGCACGCGCCGCCACGCGGTGCCGCCCGTCCGCAGGTCGATCCCGGCGACCGCGGCCTCGCTCGCGACGACGGCGAGCCGCTGGGAGCCGACGGAGCGGAAGACGGCGGCGCCGACGGAGCCGACGTTCTCGCGCGCCCAGTCGAACTTGCCCGCCTGGTCCTCGAAGAGGGCGGGCGGGGCGAGGGCGAGGAGGGCAAAGGCGACGCCGGACATGGGAGGCTTTCACAGTTGTGGCAGCTTGCAGTCCGCCAGACCTCGCTTGAAGCGCCTCTCCAGCCCTCGCTTTCGCTCTCATGCGCGACGCTGGCCAGGCCATGTAGGTGCGCGCTGCCGCCCAATCGACGCGCTCCCCCGCCCAACACCCCTACCCGCCGGGCAGCGCGCCATCCAGATGGCCGCCCCGACACATAAACGTGTGTATGGGAGCCTTCACAGTTGTGGCAGCTTGGGCAGAGTCGTGTGAGACACCGCCGTGGCGGCCAACGGCAAAATATTGGCCCGCATTGCTGTCGCGCGCGCGTGAAGAGAGAGAGAGAGAGAGAGAGAGAGAGAGAGAGAGAGAGAGAGAGAGAGAGAGAGAGAGAGAGAGAGAGAGAGAGAGAGAGAGATGTGCAAAAGAGGCTCTCCCGACAGAGATTCGAACTCCGGACCTAGGGATGGCTACGACTGCCCCGAATGGCATTCACTACAGTCCCCCGCTCTGCCAACTGAGCTATCGAGAGCCGATCTGGCAGCCACACGACGCAGGCAAGGCCGGCAACGCGTGCGCCACGATCTGCATGCGTGACACCATCTTCTCAGCGGTACATATAGGTTTAATTTAAAAAAAAAGCATCTCCTTAGCGATTGATCTTGGAGAGTCGCCTTAGAAATTATCCTAGAAATATACTTAGAAAATATCCTTAGAAATATCCTTAGAAATTTTCCTTAGAATTCTCCTTAGGAAATATCCTTAGAGATTACCCTGAGGAATACCCCTTAGGGAATATCTAAGGGTTATACTTAGGAGTCGATTTCGGCGTCGAAAAATGGCCGAAGGAGCACGTGGGCACTAGTTATGGACGAAAGTGCAATTTGTTCACAGCATGTAGATAGTACCATTTGGGGCAAGTCTCAAGCGATGGTGCCAGAATCAGACCTCATCTTCACGCCAGTGATGCGGTTGATCACGCGAGTCGATCGACACGTCTTCGCCGCTCTTTCACCGACGCCCACAGCGCCAGCAAGTGTCACGACGTGCCGCTGCCAAGAACGACACTGTGCTCTGAGGATTCGCCGCACATCGAAGGAATCAGAAGCGCGCCTTCGTGGATCTTTGTGTGTCGGAACAGGCGCTGAGGTTGGTGTCTCCTCTCGTCATCCTCCGCTGGCGTTTCGACACTGTGACAGCGGCAGCGCTGTGGCTTCGACGCTTCGGCTGCTTGCAATCGCAGCCACCGCACTCCCGTCGCTGCCTTCCTGTTGCCTGCAGTGGCACGCTGCGGAGTCTCCCCGGCTCGGCAGTACTGGTCGGCGTCTTGTCCTGTCGTCACCCTCGCGTCGCCGCCGTGGTCCGGCGCGGCGGTCATCCGGACAGAGTGTATCCCTCAGTGAGCCGACTCGCGACCCGCACTGCATGAGGGCAAGAAAAGCCGAGCCGTGCCACCGTCCTGCTCCCCCCTTTTGCATGTCTTTTTACGTGAGAGCATTCTGCTAAACAAGAGGAAAACCAGAGTACTCTCCACTCTTCGCTACTACCTACCACTCCTTGACGGCCTGCTCAAGGAGAGGCTTGATCTCATCTGCCCACCTGGGTGCGAGCTCCTTCCAAGTTGACCGCGCGAACTCATAGCACTCCTGTGCGGTTCGCCCTCCATCCTCGAAACCGGCCGGGGCACCGTTGAACATCTTGGTCTGCTCGTTCCCCCCCCCCGCGGCACGTTTGTTGCCGGTCTGTTTTCCAGTCTGTTTGGACAGGTAGCGCTGCGTGTACGCTTGCTTCTCCGCCTTTGACATGATGACCATGTGCGTGTGTGAGTTGACCTCTGCCGCGGTGTTGAGTGGGCGCCGAAGCAGCCCGCATGACGCATTGTGACCCTGCAGCTGGTCCTGCATGCCATGGAGGTACGAACCCAACACAACTCCTTCCGGCGTGTCCTCCGTCTTCTTGACCGTTCGCGGATGCCACTGCTCGTCCTGATTGTGGAGCTCGAACTCAACCGCCGGAGACAAGGTGAATGTGACCTCTGGGGCGAGCTCCGTGCCGCACCTGTGGAGGTCTCCGTCGCGCCTCCTCAGTTGCAGCGCCATCGTCAAGACTCGGGGGTGGCCAACCGTCATTGTGCTGATGGGGGCAGCGTCCTGCGAGTTTCGCTGCCCTCCCACCACATCCTGGTGCAAGCCGAGTGTGGAGCCGCACTTGTCCCCGCCCTGCCTGCTCGGCGGGTGTGGTAGGTTGAGTCGGCAATAGACGCAGTACGACTTGCCCAGGTAGCACAGCACAATGCACGAGTTGAAGCGGTCGTCCTGCAGAATGTGCTCGATGCGGTCAGGGTATGGGAAGATCCGGAAGCGGTGCACAGGCCTCCGAGATCTCCAAGTCGTCGGACAAGGTCAACCTCAATCCGTACTCGGAGAGCAAGCAGCTCGCGATAAAGCTGAGCAACCTCCACCGGCTCGCGAACTGGATCATCGGCATGCACGGCTTGCGTCTCCTCCACCGGGTGCTGTCTTTGCCCATCACGATCATGCTCGCCATGCAGACGGGAAAGTACCGACTCGACGAGTCCATCCTCACCGGCAGCAAATGGAACGACGTCTCGGGCATCTGCGCTCACCGATCTGAGGCCATGTTTCACCTCAACCTCATCGACGTCACCGACCCGGCGAACCAGGCCGAGACGCTGCGCTTGATCGAGATCATCCTGTACGGCACGCCACAGAACCACTCAACGGTGCAGCCCGAGCCTGGCATGCCGACGCAGCGTGAGCTCGCGACCTCCTTCAGCCTGGACGAGTGCAAGGCCTGGTGCGAGGCGAAAAAAGCGGAGTGCTGCACCATTGCTCCTTTTGTTTGTTTGTCCTTTTTTGGTGCTTCTAAGTACGTTCCGATTCCCTCTTTCCGAGACTAAGGTTCGTTCGGCCTGTGGGAGGGGGACCCTATTTGCGACACCAGGTTTGACCCTCGATTTAGACCCGGTCTAGACCAGACCAGTTCACGAGTTCAGGCTGTCGGAAGAGTTCCTTGATCGACGCGGTCGCGTGGACCCGACCGACCGATCGAGACGCGGTCAATCAAGGTGCACAAGCCACAATCTGGACCAGCGCGAGAAGAAGCAGGCGCGTTGATGCTTCACACGCGCGGACCGCTGAGAGCGCGTCTCTCTCGCCAGACCTCCCACAAAAAAGAAAAACGCCGTCCGAAACGACATTCACGGCGGGCACACCCAACTTTACTCTCCCGCGGCGGTCGGCATCGAAGCCTCATCTTGGTGCACGTGTATCGCGCCTTGGCACACACACCCAGCCACAGCACACATACATGCATTGCTTGCTGCTCGCCCTCGCCGTCGTCGCCGTGTCGGCTGGCCCGGGGCACAGCCACGGGGACGGCCCGTGGGAGTGGGGCGGCGTCTACCGCCTGCTCGCCGGCGACTACACGTGGACATTCAGCAAGAATGCCGCCGGCATCTATGGCGCGCCCGACGAGAGCATGCGGGTCGTGGTGCTGCGCGGTGGGCCGGCGTCGGACGCGCTCGACGATTTGCGGCCGGCGGCCGAGGCTCTGCTCCAGCTCTCGCAGTGCACCTTGCTCGATGGCGGCGGCGAGATCGGGGCCGCCGACACCTGCTTCGAGTTGCGGTTCAACCAGTCGCTGCCGGCCACGTCGTGGACGGTACGGACGGCGATCGCCGGCAATCTGGCGATCTACACAGAGCACCTGCCGATGGAGTTTAGCGCGCGCCTGGCCTCGACGAGCACCGGGGTCGAGGTCCAGCCAGAGGCAGCCGTGCTTTACAACGCGATGCACGGGGAGGCGGCCGACCCGGAGACGGACCACGACCACGACCACGCGCACGAGGAGGTGGCCGACCACGCGCACGAGGAGGTGGCCGACCACGCCCACGACCACGCGCACGAGGAGGTGGCCGACCACGCGCACGAGGAGGTGGCCGACCACGCCCACGACCACGCGCACGAGGAGGTGGCCGACCACGCGCACGAGGAGGTGGCCGACCACGCCCACGACCACGCGCACGAGGAGGTGGCCGACCACGCGCACGAGGAGGTGGCCGACCACGACCACGGCGAGCACGATCACGATGCTACCTCCGTTGCGACCGCCGGACTCGTCATCAGCGTCCTGGCGCTCACGGTTGCGACGGCGGGCTTGTGCCTCACGATGTCTCTTCGGCAGAGGCACGCGGCGCAGCCAATGATGTCGGAAGCGGCGACGATGCGGCGCCACTCTGCCAGCTTTGGCGCCGGCGGCGACGCGGCGCAGAGCAAAGGCGAGCGAGGCATGCAGGTATGAAGGGCGGGCAAACCAGCGTCTCGAAGAAAGTCCCTTACTTCCACTGGAGGGTGCAGTCGGTCTCACGTCCCAACCGTGCGGATGGCGCACACGGACTCAACCAGTCTCTCGTTCTGTGCGATCTGTGCGGTCTCTCGATCGGCGCGGCCCGTGGGCAGCTACCCCACACTCCACAGCTTTAACAAGAAAGCCTCCTGGCGGACCGAGCTGGCGAGCTCCGTACGCGATTTCCACACGTGTGTTTGTGTCCGTATGTACCGCTCCTTTACCCTGCCTCTCCTCGAACTGGTTGGTGCTGCAGCGAGATTTTGCGTGTGCGCAATTAAAACGAGGCACACTTGGAGAGCCAATTATGCGATGTCTTAATTAACTAATTAGTCTCTCGCTACTCCTTGGAGCCCCATACAAGAAGGGGAGAAAGCAGAAGAGGAGACTGGAGAGAGGCCAGTGATGACGAAGCAGAGACTAGCGCGCAGACGAGAGCAGGGCTCTGTGACCCGGGGACGGGGGAGCCAGAGCGGATGGCATCGGCCGCCGAGGGAACGCTGAGAAGAGGCACGAGGAGGGCGGCGACCTCAACCGACTATATGGAGGACCAGTCGCCAGTCGCCAGAGCGGCCGCACACTGCTCGCTACCCCCCCTGCACTTCTAAGCCCGTCCCTGCTGCTAGGGGGGGGGGGGGTCCCGACCCCCCCAGCAGCAGAGCGCACTGGACCCAGCTCCCGCCTCCCGCCGCCCCCCCTCCCGCCCCCTCGGCTCGTGTTTGAGCGGTACGCTCGAGGCGGTTGTGTTCACCGCGCCTTCGAGCCCAATACACCTTCGTGCTGTCGAGTGCTGGCGTTTTACTAAAGACTTGTGACCACATCTGAGTCTATCTTGTACACTACCACACACACGCATAGCTCAAGGTCATAGGGTGTAGTGAGCCACTCACTCGGGCGTCTCGCTGACGTTGATCGATCAGCGCTGATCTCCCTAGCCTATCGGCCACCCGCTCGATCCTCGGATCGCTCGCTCGTCGCAAATCAATCGACTGAGCTGTCAGCAAGCGGCTGCGTTTTCTTTTTCCCTCCTTGAAGCAGAGGCGCCGCGAGGCACGAGAGGCGTAGAAGAGAGGCTGGCGTGCCCCGCACAGCCCGGTTGGCAGTAGGAGGCCCCGCCGGTGAGACCACTGATTTTGATGCCGACCATAAATTCTCGCAACTCGAACGCACATGCTACTTACAGCTGCTGTCTGTACAGAGATGCCAGCACCCCCCAGCAGCAGAGCGCTCCTGCTGGGGGGGGGGTCCCGACCCCCCCAGCAGCAGAGCGCTCCTGCTGGGGGGGGGGTCCCGACCCCCCCAGCAGCAGAGCGCACTGGACCCAGCTCCCGCCTCCCGCCGCCCCCCCTCCCGCCCCCTCGGCTGCTCCCTAGCCTATTGGCCACCCGCTCGATCCTCGGATCGCTCGCTCGTCGCAAATCGATCGACTGAGCTGTCAGCAAGCGGCTGCGTTTTCTTTTTCCCTCCTTGAAGCAGAGGCGCCGCGAGGCACGAGAGGCGTAGAAGAGAGGCTGGCGTGCCCCGCACAGCCCGGTTGGCAGTAGGAGGCCCCGCCGGTGAGACCACTGATTTTGATGCCGACCATAAATTCTCGCAACTCGAACGCATGCTACTTACAGCTGCTGTCTGTACAGAGATGCCAGCACCCCCCAGCAGCAGAGCGCTCCTGCTGGGGGGGGGGTCCCGACCCCCCCAGCAGCAGAGCGCTCTCCTGCTGGGGGGGGGGGTCCCGACCCCCCCAGCAGCAGAGCGCTCCTGCTGGGGGGGGGGGTCGGCCATGGGCTTAGGTGTGCAGGGGGCATGCAGGGGGGGTAGCGAGCAGTGTGCGGCCGCTCCCAGACGACGCAGGACGACAGACGACGGGGAGGCGGAGCAGACGCGCCCAGGGCGAGACGGGGGAGGGAGCAGGACGTTGCGGAGATCAGCAGGAGGATGTGGGAAATAAAGAGAGATTAGGACGAGCAGCAGGGACCCGTCCCGAGGGGGACCATCTACCATGTGGAAGACGGCTAGTGGTACTAGTGCTAGACCACTGTGCACTGAGACACTCTTTCTGTGCACTGACCAGTGCAGGTCCCCCATCGGGAGGACGACCTCGGCTAGTCGCCGACCACACCCACAAAGAACCCTGCACAAAGACCGCACGGGCGGGGACCTGTTCCTTTTTACCCATCTCACAGTAAAGGTGACAGGTCGTGTCTAATCTCCGTTTTTATTTGCTCCTTGGAGCCGCATTGGATTTGGACGGAGCGCTCGCTGGCCCTGTCGCGGCGTCCGCTCTCTCCTCTGGCTCCGACCACTCTCTGTCCACTCGCCCCTACGAGAACATCGAGCCACCCGCCCGGAACCCGCCCGTCCGCTCCGGGAACGGCCCTCTTCGGTCCGGGTCGATGCCCTGGTACTCGAGCGCGGCGCGGTCGCCGTTCCAGTCGGGCGCCCGCCGATCCTCGAGCACGTCGCCCGTCTCGTCGTCGCGCACGACGTCGCGCAGGCTGCCCGGGTCGCCGACGATCACGTCGCAAATCTCGGGCCAGCGCTGCCTCAGAAACGCGCCGGCGTTGGCGAGCACCGTCTCCCGCTTGTGCCAGAAGCGTCCCGAGAGCGAGAGCACGACCACCGGGCCGTCCACCTCGGCGAGCGCGATGTCGCCGGTGATGCCGATCGCGACGGTGTCTGGATGGCCGCCGAACATCGAGGGCGCGGCGGCCTTGAAATCGTCGAGCGTCGCACGCACTGCAGCCTCGCCAAAAAAGGCGTCGCCGCTGCCGCCGTCGAGCAGCGTCAGAGGCCTGGGACGGCGCTGAAGGAGCGAGCGCCACGGCAGCGGCGCGGCGACGAGAGCGGCCGGCAGCGGCGCGGCGAAGGTGGACAGCAGCGGCGCGGCGAGAGCGGCAGGCACCGACATCGGGGCGAGCTTTTTTGTTTTTTTAGGAGAACCAGGCAGCCAAACGCAAAAGTTGTCCAGGGCAAAGAGAAGGAAAATTTTGTTTTTTATCCTTTCTGCGAACTTTCGGCTTTTTCCCCAAGCAAGCCATGGGGATGGTGCTCGGCAGGATCAGCGAGGAGATGCCCGCGCACACGGTACTTGCCCGCGCGTCGACCTATGAGGTCCGGCGCTACGCCAGGAGTGTCGTCGCAGAGTGCAGCTACGGCGCCGGTGGCTGGGGCGGTGGCGACGACGGCAGCCCGTTTGGCGCGCTCGCGCGTTACATCGGCGTGTTTGGAAAGCCGCAGAACGATAAGGAGAAGATCGCGATGACGGCGCCCGTGCTCGTTACGCCCGAGCCCATCGCAATGACGGCGCCGGTGCTCGTCAGCCCTGGCGCCGAAGGACAGGCGACGCACACCATGGCCTTTGTGCTGCCGGCGTCCAAGTACAGCAGCATCGCCGACGCACCCAAGCCGCTCGACCCGCGCGTGACGCTGCGGCAGCTCCCGGAGCGAGTGCAGGCTGTGCGCACCTTTTCGTGGAACTTCAGGCCTGAGGCGGCGAAGAAAAACCTGGATATCCTGCTGGACGACCTCGCAAAGGACGGCTGCTGGGCGGTCGAGCGCGGCGCTGACGGCCAGCCGCGGTGGCAGGCCGCCGGCTACAACCCGCCCTTCGCGCTGCCGTTTATGAAGCGGAACGAGGTGCTCGTGGACGTGCAGCCAAACCCAAACTGCCCAAAGGCGGAGGAGTGAGCGCGCGCGGAAGGTGATTTGAAATATAGGAGAGAGAGAGAGTTTTGTGTAACGAGGGGTGGGAGAAACGGGACAGGTTTCCTGCTCTTCTTTATTTTTTTAGCGTCTGTAACTTGCCACAAGCATGCTTTACAAAAGTCCTGCGGAGCGGGACTCGCAGAACTGCCGTCCCCGCGCGCGCTGTGAACACACAGAACAGCGCCGTGGTCAAACACTGTTCAACGTCGTTGAACACGTAGCGCGGAAAGAGAGACCGCATACACCACCTCGCACATCACCCCGTCGATGATGTCTAGGTTCAGCTCCTTCGGCTCCTCGCCGGCGACCCAGCGGCCCTTGCCCGCGAGACGTGCTTGGGAACCCAGCCGCCCCGCTGCCGTCGAGGGCAAGTATCCCGTCGCGTAGCCCCCGAGAGATGGCTCGGGCAGATGCCAATATGCCCGCTCCATCACCCGCCCGCACGCAGCCGCAGCGCTCGCCCACTCGAGCGGACGGGAGTCCACGGAGTCCACGGGCGCCGCGGGCCGCGCAGCCTTCTTGCGCTGCGACGGGAGTCCACGGGCTCCACGAGCTGACGGCGCGCGGCGGGAGCTGCCTCCCCGGGCTGTCGGAGAGGGTGTCGGAGATTTAGCGCCCGCGGAACGCAGCGGTGCCGCCGCCGCGGTTGGCGTAGACGGCGAAGAGGAAAAGTAAAAGACGTCGGACGAGGCAAAGAGTAGGTCCGCAGAGCTTGAAGTCTCGCAGCGATCCACCTGGACGAGGGTTGTTGGCACGAACTAACCACCCCTGAGGCGGGGCAGTGAGTGATGGCCTGCTGAGCCGAGTTATGGCGAAGGCCCGCCACGTGGTCAGGAAGTGAAGGTTGGGTTGATCCGGGGTGCTGCACCGACCCGATATGGGGTCGGTATGGGGAAATACCTCACGGCAGGACACCTTTGACGCTGCCTCGTCTAGGCCGCCGCGCCCTCCTTATCGTCGTCGTCCATCGCCGCTCGCCACATCTGCTGGCGCCACGCCTCCACGTCGAAGTTCTGCTTCTGCTGCTGATGCTGCTGATGCTGCTGCTTTTGCTGCTCCTCCTTCTCCACCCCCACCAACTCCCCAGTCGAGCCGCCCACAGCCACGCCAAGGGTGCCCGATGGGTGCACCAAAGGTGCCGGAGGGGTGCCCCGTGGTGGCCCAGGTGCCTGAAGGGTGCCGAGGGAGTGCCCCGACCCTCCAGGCACCTTGCCAAGGCCCTCCGACGCGCACGCCTCGTCCACGGGCGACTCGTAGCCGCCTGCGCCTCCGCCCCCGCCCACGAGCCACGTCGGCGGCCGCCTCGCCCTGCGCCGCCTCGCCGCCCAGCGTGGCAGCAGCGAGAGCTGGGGAGGTGGTGAGGGAATTCTGCGAGCATCGGCGCAGCCCGGCGCGCAGCTTGGCCACCTCGAGCGAGTCGTCGATGCCGAGTCGAGCGAGAGCGCGCGCCGCGACACATTCCTCGAGGAGGCCGTCGACCTGCTCCGCAGCGAAGCGAGGAGCATGTGCCTCCAGCCTCACAGAGCTGAGGAAGGCGCAGACGTCGTCGAAGGAGCGCGCCGCGCCGCGACGGCCGCGACGGGCGCGCGCCCAGGCGGACGCCCAGTGGCCCGGCCTCCGCCGCCGCCACCGCCGCGGCGGTGGCAGCAGCCGAGCTGTGCATCGACGAAGCACGGCGTGAGTTCCTTTTTGCCACTGCGGGACGCGCCCACGAAAGGTGTGCAGACCCCAGTTCCAGCGGACGCAGCGAGCGTCGGGACTCCGTCCTGGCAGACGAAGTCTTCCTCGTGGGCTCCACGGCCCGGTCCCCGGATCGCGAGCTCGATCGATACGCGACGCGCTCGGCCTCCGCTGGCGGCTGCCGCAAGAGCGGCTGGCTCACGACAGCGTCTCGCCGGTTGCCGGATAGGAGAGTACAGAACGTCTGGAGTGTAACTGTGTACGTGAGATCGGTATTGATAACAACTTAACAAGCACGGTCGATCCGTCAAAGCGATACACTCGTTCCTATCTCGCTGGAGGGGCTGGCACGGAGCTCTGTGCCGGCGCACACAGGAAGAGCCGTGCGGCAAGAAGAGCTCGATGGGGAGCGAGAACCGTCAGAGGTGCTCACCCGGGTTTCGGAAGTCCACCCTGATGCGGTCAGTTCCCCCCAGGTTTGACCGCGCAGCTCGCAAGACTCGTCGAGCACTCGCAGCCTTTCTCTGCGCCTCTCATGCTGCCGCTCTGCGGGAAGTTCAGTCTTTCCGGAAGATATCGTCGAGTTTTTAAAGCTGCGCGGTCAAACCTGGGGGTAAATAAGAGCTCCCCGAGTTTACACAAGTACTTCAAAAAATAAATTCCCGGAGTGCTCGGCAACGCCGGCAGCAGCGAGGGGCTCGGCGAGGCGACGATCAGGGCCAGCCGTAGCCCAAGAAGGTCGAGGCCTTGGCACAGGCAGGGCAGCGCGTCGTCGCTGTGACGGCGGGATCTGAGCCCTGGTCTGACAGCCTGACAGCAACCCCCGGACAGCGCCTGACAGCGCCCGACAGCCTGACAGCGCTGACAGCACTTTCTCCGACAGCCTGACAGCACGTATCTGACAGCCTGACAGCAGAGTCTGACATCAGAGGTGCTCCGTCGCTGTCAGGCCCCAACGTGACAGCCTGACAGCTGCCCGACAGCCCGACAGCACACAGTGGCCTGACAGTAGCGCTGACAGCCCGACAGCCCGACCAGCCCGACAGCAGCACAGACCGTACACAGGCCGTGCAGCCTCTTTCTTGTGCCCCATGAGGGTGTAACAAAACTGTTACATGCAAAGACATGTGAGTGTGGTCCATGCAGTGTCATGGGATGGTCATGCCTCATGGGTCTCTCTCTCAACCCTCCCGCCCCACCTCTGCGGACCCGCGGCTGTGCTACAACTACAAATGAAGCTACCAGCTAGCCTTCTGGGGCCCTACATACAGCCATATGCCTACGGCGTCTGGATGGGGGTGGCCGCCGCCGTCTGTGCCGCCGCCGCCGGCCCGCCGCCTGCGCCTGCGCCGCCATCTGCGCTCCCCAGGCGGCCGCCGCTGCCGGGGCGTGATCACGCCGTAGGAGGGGGGCAGCTGCGTAGCCGCCGGCGTCATCGGCGTCAGCGCCCCCGCCGCCGCCTGGCCAGCAGCAACGGGGTCTTCATCAACGACGCCAACCAAGGGCCTCTTTATCCTCCGGTGGTACCGTGAGGTGAAAAGGGTGACGGGACCCCCCGCAGACAGCCCGCGCTACCAGAACAGAGCGTGCAAGTACTACAAGCTGACGAGCGACAACGATGGGGAGGCCTTCCAGACTCAGTGCGGCAGACAAGAAGATCTGGTGACGTTTGGCCGCTTTGTGTATCTCGAGACCTCGAGAGAAGGCTCCCCGAGGGCCCAAGTCAAGAATCGGCTTTCTTTTGGCGCGCAATGGTGACGTCTACGCAAGAAGATGGTGGCACCGGAGGCAGAGTAGGGACTAGAGTATGTGTAGCAGAGTCCTGCTGGTGTCCTCTTGATAGTGTCATTCGCCGACCCTCCAAGCGCCGTCCAAGCTGCTCGTGGGCTCTGGCAGCGCCATTCTTCATCTGAGGCTGTGCATTGGGCCCAAGAGTGAATGCGGATCGCTCGCCGCCGGATCGCTGCGCGTGCCGCGCAGCGCGCCGTCGCGCAGATTGACGGCCAGCCCGTGCTCATCCACAACACGGCGCGGCACTACTACGACTCGATCGAGCTCGCAGCGGGTGCGACGCGCTCCGGGAGTGGGATCGGCGAGGTCGGCGACGTGACTGGCTTTCGCGTGTGGGAGTCTGCGCCGCTCGCCATCGCCCACCTCGAGCGGCGCCGGGCCTCAATTGTGTGCGGCCGGTCGGTCATCGAGCTGGGCGCCGGCACGGGCGCCGTGGGCCTCTCTGCTGCGGCGCTGGGAGCCAAACACGTCGTGCTCTCCGACGCCGACTCGGTCGTGACGCTCGCCGCCGGGCCGGGCGAGCGGGAGGAGCGCAGCCGGCTCGAGTCGCTCGCTGAGAATGCGAGGCTCAACGGAGAGCGGGCCGCGGCGGTGAGCGTCGCGCCCTGTCGCTGGGGCGACGCCGCGCACCTCGCCGACCTCGCCGGGCGCTGGCCTGAAGGCTTCGACACCGTCGTCGCCTCGGACGTGCTCTACTCGCCGCGATCGTACGCCGCCCTCGGCGCGACGATCCGCGCTCTGGCCGGCGCCGACGCGACGGTGGTCCTCGCGTTTCCGGAGAGGCACGGCGGGGAGGCGCGGCGCGGCGCAACAGCGCGCGCGGTGGGGCCTCTGGAGCGGGCCCCGCTAAAGGTCACGTGCCCCGACGCCTCAGGCACGCTTCGTGGAGGGGCTCGCGCCGGCCTTTGCGTTGGTGGACAGCGAGGCAGCCGGCGAGGGCGCGGCGGCGGCGGCGGGCGGCGCCCGACTGCGGGTCGTCGAGCTGCGGCGCGCAAGGCCGAGATGGTGCGGCGGTGGCGATGGGTGATGAGCGCGCGTGAGGCCTGACCAGTCAGACAGCGTTTTCGTGGGTTCCGCAACAAACCTCTCTGAACACCGTGGAAGCCCCTTTCCTGTGCGGGCCTGCCAGCACTTTGCCATCCCAGCCTCTCTGCGACCACGCAGCGTCCAGCGAGACGCTCGCTAACACGCTCTAGTCCTATAAGTAATACCGTATAAAACGGTCCGGTGTGGCGGTGTGCTGTGGTGTAGACCTGTTGCACGCCAACCGTGAACCACCCACGGACAGCTCAAAATCGCTGTGCGCGGCCGGCGGCTTGAGCGCGCGCCCTAAGGCCTTCATGTCGCACCCGAGCGTCTCAGCGCCATCCCTGGGCCCTGCGGCAGCGGACCGGAGCGGTTGAAGGCGACTTGACGCGCCGCGCCTCACGCGCTGCGGCCGCGACGCCGCAGTGCCGCAGCGCCGTCGCTGCGCCAGGCTTCCGCGGCTCTGGGGGCGCGGCGACTCAAATAGCCGCGGTCAGGTGGTGTTGTCCACCAGTATGAACACACCCATGCGCGGCGTGGTCGGTTCTTCGCCACACATCGCTGGAAAGGTCAGCTGACAAGGGGCAAAACGGGCAAAAGGGAGTTTTCTGCCATCCCTCACGCTCACCAGCGCCGGCCGCACGCTTGCAGGCCACTTCTGAGCGGCTGAGGCAAGTCCTCGTGGTGGACAAGGATGGATCCGCGCCGCTTTGCCGGCTCGCGCCGCGCTGCTCGCCTCTCCGAGAGGTGCCTCTCGCCCGCCTGCCCGCCACTGCAGCGAGAGGGAGTTTCTGCCATCCCTCACGCTCACCAGCGCCGGCCGCACGCTTGCAGGCCACTTCTGAGCGGCTGAGGCAAGTCCTCGTGGTGGACAAGGACGGATCCGCGCCGCTTTGCCGGCTCGCGCCGCGCTGCTCGCCTCTCCGAGAGGTGCCTCTCGCCCGCCTGCCCGCCACTGCAGCGAGAGGGAGTTTCTGCCATCCCTCACGCTCACCAGCGCCGGCCGCACGCTTGCAGGCCACTTCTGAGCGGCTGAGGCAAGTCCTCGTGGTGGACAAGGACGGATCCGCGCCGCTTTGCCGGCTCGCGCCGCGCTGCTCGCCTCTCCGAGAGGCGATAGTCGACCTCCGCGCCCCCGCAGTGCGTGCAGCGGCTGGGCGCCAGGCGCGGTGCGGAGGGCCGCGGGGGGCCAAACTGGCTCCTGCTGCTCATATTTTTGACGTGTGTGTAGTCTATACAGTCTGTACACCAGCGCCAGTGCCGTCAGTGCCCACGCGAGAGGCGCTAATGCCTGTTTTTGCGCCTTGTCCGGACTGGAGCTGGGCGGTGGTTCACGGTTGGCGTGCAACAGGTCTGTAACGGCGCGCGTTGCCTTTGGCTTTGCGCTTTGGCCCGCTAGCCCGGTAGCCGCTTTGCCCCCGCATGTGCATGCACATGAGCATGCACATGCCCATACGCCATACACATGCACTGTCGTCTGTCCATGTGCATATCCCTGCTCTAGCGGAAATTTTCTGTATATCGTGAATGATCGCCGAGTATCGCCTAATATCGCGCAATATCGCGCAATATCGCGCAATATCGCGCAATATCGCGCAATATCGCGCAATATCGCGCACCCTCGCCCCGGCGGCGGTGACGGTGACGGTCCGAGCATTTCTTTGTTTTCCGGTCGCGCTTTCCCTTAGGGTACCCCTAGGCTTAAAAGGGTGGGCCCTGGGGCGCCTGCGGCTTAAACGGCTTAAAACCTGCCATGGCAGGTTTTAAGAGCTGCTGGGCCGCCGATTCCTTAAACGGTCTTAAACGCTTAAACGGTGCGGGAGACTCCCGAGGTCGATGGTCCGGGAGGCTCCCCGGTAGACGCCGGAGGCCGGGAAGCTGGCACAGTCAGCTAGCACGCGTCCCCTATGCGAGTATGGCTCCTGCCAGTGCACCAGACTTACAGATGTGTCTTCAGTGGCGGGTTCGTGCCTAATAACGGCAGTATTGGAGAAACCGGCGCGGAACCCGGCGACGCATGCCGGCGAGGCCGATTTTCTTAAACGGACTTAAAAGAGGGACCCCCCGTGCCTGCAATCTCTTAAATGAGAATTTGAGCCCCCAAACCTCCTCATTTCTTAAAAGGTCTTAAAACAATCCGGCCCTCAGAACCCTAGGGGTACCCTAAGCGCTTTCCCGCCGCCCACCCGCACCTCTCTCGCACTTTCGGCGCCCAGGACTGACACGTGTAACGCTTCACGCGCGTCGCTGAGGCGTGCTGTGAAAGGCTCGCGTGATCGCGAGCATCGCACAACATCGCCATTTATCGCATTTTATCGCCAAATATCGCGCGGTATCGCGGTTGCGATATTGTGAAAAATTTTCGCTAGAGGGAGAGGACCGTGAGTTGAGGAAATCGGGGGAAGCGACCCACTTCGCCACAGACGGTCCCGCGCCTCGCCACTATGACGGGCACACGCCCCGCACCGTCCGCTGTGTGCCCGTCTTTGTCCGGAGTGAATACTCCAACGCGCTCGTCGGTGACGGTGT